GTGGTTTTTTTTTTTAGTTTTTTTTGTTTGTTTGTTTTTTTCTAAAAACCCTCTGGATGAGATTTCTAGGTGAGAAACTACTTGAACATGAAATAAGCCCATCTAGAGTCTTGTAATCATACAGTTACTTTTACTTCCCAGGCAAAATGGCAATACCTGTGCTTTGGAAATTTCTGGAGAAGTACCCTTCAGCTGAGGTAGCAAGAAACGCAGACTGGAGAGATGTGTCAGAACTTCTTAAACCTCTTGGTCTCTACGATCTTCGGGCAAAAACCATTGTCAAGTTCTCAGGTACTTTCCCATACACCGAAAGGAAAAACATAATACATTGTGCCCATTTAAGAGAGCCACACCTTAAACTTTAATGTCCTCAAATACTGTATATATTAGTGGAGGTTTTTCAGCTCAAGCACCCAAGGCATTTTAAAAAGTCCGCTTTCTCCAAACCACAGTCTCCCACTGACCCAAACAATAAATCTTTGCCCGACACTAGGTCAGGCATGTGAGCAGAATTAGGGGAAGAAGTCAGTGAAGCAGAAAGCCTAGTTCTTGACCTCGAGGACGTGACCTCTGTCTCGTTAGCACAGCACAAAATAATGGTTAGGAAATGGCAAATGATATGGGTGCTGCAGAAATTCAGAAGGAAGAGCAGTCACAGCTGGGGTTGCCAGGAAAGAGCCTTTCCTGCCCTTTCTACTGTTCTCTCCATCCTGCCCCATCACCACACATTTTGGGAGGGTGTCTTTAGAAGCTGACCTGATTTGTGGGATGTTGTATTCTTCAGATGAATATCTGACAAAGCAGTGGAAGTATCCAATTGAACTCCATGGGATTGGTAAATATGGCAACGACTCTTACCGAATTTTTTGTGTCAATGAATGGAAGCAGGTGAGTCCTACTCCCATCCATAATTCAGCACAGTTAGTCTCTGAGGCAAAATAAGTCCACCATTATAGTTAAAACTATTTATTGGACACAAATGCTATTACAGTCACAACCGATTTTGTTCCTGGCTGCGGGGAAGCGGGTGGCATGGGGATTTGGGGGTTTTTGATCTGTAGGTACTCCCAAGTCCACAAGACCAGTCCAGATTCCTGGCCTCTGACTCATCTCCAGTGGTTTGCAGCCTGTGGCCCTGCTACTATCCGTCCCCATCTGTTTGCTGTCTCTAAGCCCGACATGGTTTTCTTCCTGTCAAAAGTACACCACTCTAGGAAATTAGGAAGTTTTGGGGCTAGAATATATGCTTGTTGGGTTTCTCTTAGTGGTCTCAGACTACTTTTGTGATGACTAGGTCCTACTTCAGTCCTGTTAAATATGCCCAGCCCTCATGCTGGTGGCATCCTGGCAGCTGGTGAGTGGCCTGGTGTGCTGCCCACTCAGCTTGAGACTCACCCTCATGCATTCAGCCAGTAGGTCTGGCTGAGCCTGAACTGAAGGACCACAGTCCTATCCCTGCTTCATCAGAGCAATCTATTGTGACCATTTAACCTCTCAGGGTCTATAACCTCCTTCTGGAAAGTGGGAGGTACTTGGCTCATGTCATTACCACTCCACGCTCCAGTTCATGGTGAGTAGTAATTTGGACCGTACTTTGTAAACTTTATGGGATTACCTTAACATAAGGTATAACTTAAAACATTCATGAATCCCATGAGGTTAAAGGTTATAACTTTTAGGTATATTATCATAATGTATTGTCCCCCAGCAAACATTTAAAAAGCTAATTTAAAAAAATATATTTCTGACTTTGCCTCCTCGTGTGTTGTATTTCTTCCAGGTGCACCCTGAAGACCACAAATTAAATAAATATCATGACTGGCTTTGGGAAAATCATGAAAAATTAAGTCTGTCTTAAACTCTGCAGTTTTCAAGCTCATCTGTTATGCATAGCATTGCACTTCAAAAAAGCATTATTCAGTATAGCCAACCATCTTTCCAGCCATTTAGATTTTAATTAGCCCAATTGAAGCCTAGTGTGTGTGCTTTCTTAATGTGTGTGCCATGGTGGATCTTTACTACTGAATGTGCTTGAACATGTTTTGAGATTTTTTTTTTAAATAAATTATTTGACAACAATCTTAAAAATGTCTATGGCTTTTCCAATAATGAAATGTAGTCAGAAGGTGAAAAATACCTTTCTAAACTATCAATAATGCAAAGCAAATTTCTATTAACCTTGCTAAAGGAAGGGTCTCACTAAATATTTTTATGGCAGGTGTGGTGGCGTACTCCTGTAATCTAGGAAGGCTGAGGGAAGGGGATCACTTGAGCTCATGAGGCCCCAGGAGATCAAGGCTGCAGTGAGCCGTGATCATGCCACTGCACTCCTGTCTGGATGAGAGAGAAACCCTGTCTCAAAAAATACATATCTTTTAAAAAAAGCTAACTCCCAAGACAAGTAAGATTCCTCTGGCATTGTGTATTGTTGACATTTCCATACTGGCCCTTAGGAATTGTAGATTCCATCCCAGCATCCATGTAATAACCTAATGTGAGTATCTGCCTGCTGCTCCATTTCAGCTCACTCGCTCTGCCTTTTACGTTGGTCCCTTTGTGAAAACTCATCTCTCTTCCATTTGGAGTTTTATACCATTTGGCTAGGCACAGTGGCTTACACCTGTAATTTTTAGCACTTTGAGAGCCTGAGGCAGGAGGATTGCTTGAGCCCAAGAGTTCAAAACCAGACTGGGCAACATAGTGAGACCCCCATCTCTACAAAAAAAATTTTTTTAATTAGTCAGGCCTGGTAGCACACACCTGTGGTCCCAGCCACTCAGAAAGCTGAGGTGGGAGGATCACTTGAGTCCGGGAGATTGAGACTATAGTGAACTATGATTATAATACTGCACTCCAGCCTGGATGACACAGCAAGACCCTATCTCAAAAGAAAATAGTAAGTCTTATGCCATTTTTATTACAAGTATTGTTATAGTTAAAATATCAAAGCATTTACTATTAGAAAGAAACCAAGGGAAAAAAAACAGCTAATAAGTCTTAATTAGCAACTACCATTTTAAGGTATAATTTCAAAATTAAATTGATTAAATAAGTGAAAAATAAACAGTTCAGAAAACCGCCTTTGCTGTAGGGCAGTGTGGACCGAATCAGGCTGCAGTGTGAGGCAGAGGTAGTTGGTTGTTTCCACTTTAGTGTCAGGTTTTAGAAGGATGGATTTTGACCAGAGAACAGGAAAACTGGCCACACCTCCCTCTCCTCTAGGCAGACATCCACTTTATAATTTCTAATCACATTTTCATTTAACAAACATCCAAGTCACATTCACAAAGTGCAAAGCCCTTTGCTAGGGAGGGGCACAAAGATAACCAACAGTTCTGTACAGACCCTCAGAGAGAAAGAAGGGCACCCAATAATGGAAGGAAACAAAATGAGTAAGATGTAGGGACAAGACACCCAAAAACGGCAGCTAAGGGTAGAGAGGGACCTCTGAAATCTTGGGCCTAGCTGGGGCTGGAAGGTGTGGGGCAAGCTCAGGGTATCAGGCGTGGCTTCGTGGCACGGCTGGTGGTCACATCCCTTCCTTCTCCCCAGCATCTCCATGGGGAGTGTGGGCCTGTGTGAACACAGGAGGCCAGCTCTGCTCCAGGGGAACTCAGGACACAGCCAGGTTGCTCAGGCTCTAGGCCTGGCTTTTCCCCTTTCTTGCAGGTGAGGTTGCCTGACCTCTGTACCTGTTAACTCATCTTTGAAAAATGGGATTGTGGTGTCTACCTTACACAATGATTGTAATTATGAAGTTTAGACATGTGCTAAAATGGTGCCTGGCTTGCAAGAGTGCTGTGTAAATGTGGCCTATGGCAACCGTATCAGGTTGAAAGGCTCACAAAGATAGCTTGCCTGAGCAAAGGAATAAGTGTTCAGGTGTTTAAACTTTTTAAAAATTGAGCTAAAAGCCACCAATATAACCATTTTAAAATGTACAATTCAATGGTTTTAGTACATTTACAATGTGCAGCCATCATCACTAATTCCAGAAGTTTGTGTTTCTTTTTTCCACTCCAAAAAGAGGCTCCCCACCTGTTAGCAGTCACTTCCAATTCCTCACCCCTATCTCCTGGCAACCATTAATCTACTTTCTGTGTCTGTAGGTTGTCTATGCTGAACCTTTCACATAATTGTAATCATACAGCACGTGGCCTGTTGTGTCTAGCTTCTTGCTTATCATACTATTTTGAAGGTTCATCCATATTGTAGCATGTACTTCATTCCTTCTTATGGCCATCCTATGGATATACCTCATTTTGTTTATCAGGTGATGCACATTTCAAGGGTTTATTATTCTCCGGTCTTCAGGTTCTGTAACTTCAAACTATGGCACCCTGCCATAAGCGGGGCAGAACATACCAAACACCCTGCCTCTATCTGGCCACAGATCACTTTGGTTCTTCCTAACCCTCTGGCGGAGGCAGGGCCTATTTTTCCCATGAGAAAACCGAGGCCTAGAGATAATGGAGACCTGCGGAAGATCCCATACTTCACAGGAAAACCAGAAACTCTACTCCAGATTCAGGGGCCACTGGGCCGAACAAAGAAATCCCGCCTTTCACCAAGCCCAGAACTGGGCACGACTGGCGTGAATTGACTCGCAGCCTCTTCCAGAATTGGACGGAAAAGGAGGTGGGGTCACCAGGCGCTTGGCGGGGAGGGCTCGCTCCCAGCACGTGGCAACGTCCAGCCAATCGGCGCGGGGCGTCCATAGCCAAGGCAACACGTTGTTTCTGCCGTCAGTCCGTACTGAGCGCCTTTCGCAGGACCTGGAGTTACTGTATTTCTGGTACCCCGGTACCCCCACGTGAGCAAGCCCACAGCAACACACATTCACATACACCCTTCAGCACCCCCTCCCAGCACCGCGACCATGGACGATGACTATGAAGCGTACCACAGTCTGTTCTTGTCGCTGCTCGGTAAGTCCCGGGAAGCAGCGTTTGCAGGAAGCGCTCCGCGCCCTCGGGACGTGTGAAAGTGGGGTGAGGGCAAAAACTCGGCCACAGACCTCATTGTGTCGTCCCCCTTCGGACGAGGGGTTGCCATGGAGTCGGGGGCAGGTTATGTACATTTATGAGATTTCACCTGGGCCTAGTTGGAGGAGCAAGGCAAGTTGCCTTGCCTTGGAACCAGAGGCCCGACCCATGTGACGGGAGCCCTCCAGCTCGCCCTGTTTCTCTGCGGGACATTAATGTATTCAGTACTGGAGGGGAGGCATGGAAAAGACGTCAGTCTTCAAAGTTTTGACGGTAATATGCTAGGGACCAAGTTCTTGCCAAAGCAATGCAGCTTCACAGGTAAAGGACAGAGATAAATGGATAATTACAGAATAAGAAAGGTGAATGCTGGGCCCAGGGATGACATCCAGGAGTAAAAGATGTGCTGAGGGTATGGGATGGGGAGGAACAGTTCCAAGCTCCTGGAAAAGATCTTTACACCGGAGCTTGAAGGATAAAAGGGAGTTCTCCAAGCCAAAAGGAGAAGGAAAAGCATTTCAGGCAAGAAAACAGCATGCCACAGGAGGTCTAGTGTTTGAGTGTCTCTGGAAATGAGGTGAGGGAGGTCAGAAAGGACAAGATCATGAAAGAACCTGCAAGCCAGGAGATGGAGAGGCCACTGGGAGTGGCAGAACTGGATTAGAAGCAGTCAGCAAAGGCCTGAGACTGAGTTGGTAGACTCAGAACGTTGGTGTCAGGAGAGGAGAGCTGGGGCTGTAAAGCTTGAAGACTGAAGGTCTTCTCCATGCCCCTTCTCCAGCACTGAACACATTAATGCCCAGTGGAAAAATGGGGCGAGCTGGAGAGCCTGGCCACCTTTCCCAGGCACACAGGTCAGGGCTCTGGTCAAATGCCCAGGCTAAACATGCTGGGATGTGAGGGAGAAGACCCAGGCTAGAGGGTACTACAGGGACCTAGGGCCTGGTTGATCAGGGAACACAGAAGAGGCAAATAAAGATGGTGCTCAAGTTGGCAGCTGGGGGACCTGGTGGATGGAGGTGTCTCCCACAGAGATAGAGAACGTACTCACAGGACCCAGTTAGTGGGGGCAGGAGCACAAAGACAAATCTAGTCTTGGTTGGTTGAGTTTAAGATCCTTGTCAGTGGCTGGGCACAGTATCTCCCGCCTGTAATCCCAGCACCATGGGAAGCCAAGGCAGGAGGATTGCTTGAGCCCAGGAGTTTGAGAACAGCCTGGGCCACATAGTGAGATCCCATCTCTACAAAATTGTTTTTAAAAGTTAGTTGGTCATAATGGCATGCACCTGTAGTTCCAGCTACTCAGGAGGGTGAGCTGGGAGGATCATTTGAGCCTAGGAGTTCAAGGCTGCAGTGAGCTATGATTGAGCCACTGTACTCCAGCCTGGGCAACAGAGCAAGACCCTCTCTCAATTAAAAATAAATAATAAAAAAAGATCTCTGTAAGCCATCCAAGTGGAGATGTTTTAGGAGCAACTGGAGATATAAACTTGAAGCTAATTCCAAATAAAAAATATTGATATGGGTGTTCCCAGCATGCGGAAGGTCATAGAAACATGAGAGTGGAAGGGATTATTGGAAAAGCGAAGAGAGCCTGGGTATAAGCCTGGAAAGCATCAACCTTTAAGGAATAGACAGGAAAAGAGGGACCCAAAGACAGTAGCCAGAGAGGTAGAATTGGACTTAGTGAGAATTGAATCAAGCCAAGAGCAGGGAGAATTTCAAGAAAGAGTGGTATTATTTCCAGATACCTATAGGCTATCCGAGAAAAGAGAGAACAAGTGTTTTTCCTGGGACCTCCCTGGGGAGGACTAGAATCAAGGGGTAGAAAGTCCAGGGAAACAAATTCTGGGTCAATGTAAGGAAGTATTTTCTTTCTTTTTTTTTTTCTTAGATGGAGTTTCGCTCTTGTTACCCAGGCTGGAGTACAATGGCGCGATCTCGGCTCACCGCAACCTCCGCCTCCTGGGTTCAGGCAATTCTCCTGCCTCACCCTCCTGAGTAGCTGGGATTACAGGCATGTACCACCATGCCCAGCTAATTTTTTGTATTTTTAGTAGAGACGGGGTTTCACCATGTTGACCAGGATGGTCTTGATCTCTTGACCTCATGATCCATCCGCCTCGGCCTCCCAAAGTGCTGGGGATTACAGGTGTGAGCCCGGGGAGTATTTTCTAGCAGTCAGAGTTTACTGCCCACTGTGTTAAGTAGAAAGCTCCACGTCACTGCAGGTGTATAAAGGGAGGCAAAGTCTGCCAGTGGCACTGAGGAAAGCATCCCTGACCTGGGCATGTGATTGAACTAGTTGATGTCTGAGAGCTTTCCTCACCAATTTCCTAGGAACATTGTTACACTGTCTCTACCCATAAATACACAATGACAGCTTCTTTTATTAGAAAATCCCACTTCCCTTTCTGTCAATGGCCACAGGACTCCAAAGAGTACTAGAATGAAGCTCCCTGAGGAGGATGTTTTGGGCAGGCACCCTTGGAAAGGGTGGTCAGGAGCTCGTGCAGGTTTAGCACTACGTAAGGAGAAGGGCTCGGCCAGGGGAAGCCTTGGGGAATACAGTGCTCTTCAGAGGGGACAGCAAATGCAAAGAAAGGAGTGAGGCGCCCTGACAACAGAAAGGAGGACAGTGCAGCTCGACCACATGTGGGGCTGGGAGGTGACAGGGAAGAGTGGGGAGCAGGGCCAGTGAAGGCAGCTTTGTAGGCCACAGAAGGAGGCAGGTATTTATTCAAAGAGCACTAAGAAGCCATTGAATGGTTTCAAATGAGGAAGGGACAGACTGAATTTACATTTGTAAGGCTCTCCTTGCTGAGGGCCGAACAGGGATTGGGGGTCTAGGAAGGATGCAAATGCGAGCAGCAAGACATGCAGAACAGGTTTTCTGTTCCCATGGTCTACAGGGCAAAGTTTCAGTCTCTTAGCCTGGCATTTGAGATGATACCGACCTTATTTTCCACTAACCTCCTCCTTTACACAGTGTGCTTCCAACATGTGGAACTGTCTGGTGACCCTAAAATCCCTAAATCCCACCCCTGACCTTTTCCCATCCCTCCCCTCCACCCCTTGAATGCCCTCCCAGTTCCCTCAATCAGAGTTTCTCCACCAGTTGAGAACATCTTGCTGCCCTCTGGGTGCCCCACCTTGTTCTGTTGGATGCACTGGGATTGGGTAAACCATGGTGGGTGCCCAGCCTGGTTTAATCTGCACCTGGTAAAGCACCAAGCCCTGGGGGATTCTCAATAAATACTGGTTTGATGACTGACTACATTCTCAGTCATCCCCGGCTGGGAGTGGACTTTTTTGTGGTCAAAGTAACAATACGTGTGATGTTTAGAAGTGCTCACTTCCATCCCTATCGATGTGTGGTAGTCTGTTCTCACATTGCAATAAGGAACTACCTGGGACTGGGTAATTTATAAAGAAATGAGATTTAATTACCTCACAGTTCCTCAGGCTGTACAGGAAGCATGACTGGGACAGCAGCCTCAGGAAACTTACAATCATGGCTGAAGGCAAAAGGGAAGCAAGCACATCTTACATAACCCAAGAAGGAGGAAGACAGAGCAAGGGGAGGTGCTACGCATTTTCGAACCACCAGATCTCGTGAGCACTCACTATCTTGAGAACAGCAAGGGGGGACATCCTCTCCCATGATCTAGTAACCTCCACTAGGCCCCTCCTCCAACAATGGGGGTTACAATTTGACATGAGATTTGGGCAAGGACACAGATGCAAACCATACCATGATGTTTACTTTTATTGTTTGCTGACTATGAAAGGAACACATGGGCCTTGTAAAGAGACAACAAATGTACTGAATGTCCACTTTAGGCCAGGCTGGGCACCGAGGACAGAGGGGAAAAAAAGACACAGTCCTTGACACTGGGAAACTCACAGGCTGCTGGGAAAGAAAAATGCAGAAAGTATCTTCATTTCAGAAAAATATGGTAAATGCCATGATTGGACTAAGTATAGGAGCTATGGGACCCAGACAGACCATGAGAGAGGGAGTGGGAGGGCTTCAAGGGGCCCAGGATGCCTGATGAGTCTCAAAGGATGAGTCAGGGATCAACAAGAGAAGAGGGAGGAAGAAGAACATGTCCTGGGGAGGAAACAGCCTGGCTCGTGTGTGTGTTGGTGGGGCAGATCTGTTTGGAATCAAACGGAAGGGAAGGCAGAAAGGGCCAGAGGAGGAGCCAGAGAAATCGGAGAAGCTGGCCGGGGTGAGAGGACCAAGTGGGGCCAGGTTAAGGAGCTTGATCTTTATTCTAGAGGCAGTTGGGAGCCATGGGCAGGTTTTAAGCAAGGGAGTTTGGGGAGTTTGGGTTTTAGGAGGAAAATGACAGTGACAGTATTTCCAATAAGAGTGTTATATCCTTTCTGAATTTTTAAATTTTTTTGAAAAAGGGTCTCACTCTGTTGCCCTGGCTAGAGTACAGTGTGGGTAATCTCAGCTCATTGTAGCCTTGACCTCCCAGGCTCAAGTGATCCTCCTACCTCAGCCTCCCAAGGAGCTGGGACTACAGATGTGCACCACCACATCTGGCTAGTTTAAAAAACTTTTTGTACAGATGAGGTCTCACTATGTTGCCTAGGCTGGTCTTGAATTCCTGCTCAAGCAATCTTCCCACCTCAGCCTCCCAAAGTGCTTGGATTACAGGCATACGGTACTATGCCTGGCTCCTTCTTATTTTTTAGAACTTTCAAACTGTATCTCATTTGATCTTCATAACAACTTCAAGAAGTAGATAGAGCAGAGTTTATACCACTTCAGAAGTAAAATACTTGAGACTTAGCAGGATAGGGTGACAGCCTTAGGTAATATCAAGTAACAGCTAAGAGCTGAGCTCTGGGGCCAGACAAACTGAAGTTTGTGTCTCAGCTCTGCTACTAATCAACTGAGTGACCTTGGGCCTCTCTGGGCCTCAGTGTCCTTCTCTGTAAAATGGGCATAATCGTAGTACCAGCATCATAGGTCTGTCCACTTGCCACTCACCAAATATTTACTGAGTTCCCATTATATGTAGACACTATGGAAGGGTCAGGGCTCTAGTAGGGAACAAGAGAGATCAGGTTACAGTCTTCATGGAGCTCATAGTCTACTAGAAAAAAATAAACATCAACCAAGTAATTGCACCGGGGATCTCAAAGGCAAATCGCTGCCCAAACCAGGGACTTAATAAACAAAATGAATTGCCTGTGAGACAATGGGGAATGGGGGAGCCTCTGGCAAGGCGAAGAGGGCAATGCCTCAGCCTGAAGTAGCTCAGATTGAAAAATACCAAGCAAGGTGTCAAAACAAGACCTCAGCCCTCAATCAACAAGAGGGCCACCAGTTTTCAGCCCTTGATGTATCTGGTTGTGATAAGTGGTCTGAAGGAAAGTGCAGGTTGTGATGCAAGGATGGGCTCTGGAGGATGAGGAGTGTTGGGGGTATGGAATGGTGGAAGCACTCATGCTAGAAGGAGGAACACGTGCCAATACCTAGTCAGGATGAGGCTTGGACCACTCAAGAAACAGAGAGAAGCCCAGGTGTCCAGGACACAGTGAAGAAGGAGAGGCAAGGGATTAGGAGGACAGGTTGACAGAAGAGGGGCATGGGACTTCATTTTGAGGGCTATAAAAAGTCATGGAAGGGCTTCAGAATGAGTGAATGGTGAGTATATACCAATAATAGCAGATAAATTATGTACAAACAACTCTAATAAATGGATTGCAATAAAATAGGTTACCATCATTATGCCCATTTTACCAACGAAGAGGTTGAGACAGAGAATTGGCTTACTCAAGATCACGCAGCCAGTATGTGGCAGGGCCAGGACTCAGACGGAGGAGCATTCTGGCCCCAAAGCCTCTGCTCTTAGTACTGTGCTGCCTCAGATGATCACACAAGATCAGACTGACATCTATAAAAGTTCATTTGAGAAAAAAAAAATTCATTTGATTGCCAGTAGGAGTGTTGGGGACTGGGTATGGAGAAGACTAAATAAGAGAAAGCATAGAGAGCCCTTAGCTTGCTGCCTGCTGTCGGGAGGGCTCGGTCACATTAGATGAAATTATCCTTATCATTACAGCAAGACAATGAGAAAGCTAGGCCTGGGATCCAGAACTTGACACCCAGCCTGGAGCAAAAGCATTTTTCCTTCCTGGCTCCTTTTAGTCCTCTTCCAGAAAGAAACTCACCTTTTAACTCTCTTTCCCCAGGACTCTGCCCGTCTAAGACTTCCTTCAATGAAAATGCCAACAATGTCTCCGTCTTTGATCCTGAACTGGTCATTGGCCACTGCTTCAAGCGGTTCAAGCAGAAGGACCTCCGCCTGCCTCAGAGCCGCCGGCGAATCATCATGGTGCCTCGCAAGGAGGATCAAATACCCATTAATCCTGCACCCCAACCTCAGGCTCCTCCAAAGCCCATCCCCAGCTTCAAAGCCCTGGAAGCTAGAGATATCCAAGAGCAGCCAGAGGATAGGAAAACCTGGCTGAGCCAGAGGGCAAAGCTGCGGCAGGAGCTGGAGTCCTTTGGTGATGTAAAGAGGTGGCTGGAGAACAAGCCCAGCATCACGCCTTCGGAGGCCAAGGTCTTACACATGATCCCCAAGGAGCAGAGTGGATCCCTGCCAGACGCCTCCCGGGTGACTACCAGGACCACCAAGGTGAGCAGCCCCATCTGCCAGATGACGACAACAAGGGTTTAGGGATGCATCGTCATTTCATTCTCTTGGTTAGGCTGGATAGGGATAGTTCACCCCGTTTCACAGAGAAGCAAATAGACGTCCTGAGAGGGAGGTGTATTAGCTATCTAGTTATCTATTGCTGCATAACAAACACCCCAAAATGACTGAAAACAACAAATACTTAATGATCACACACAGTTTCTAGAGTCAAGAATTGGGGAGTAGCTTTGCTGGGGGGCTCTGGCTCAGAGTCTCTCATGAGGTTGCAGTCAAGATGCTGGCCTGGGCCACAGTCATCTGAAGGCTTCCAAGCTGGCTCACCCATGTGGCTGTTGGCAGGAGGCCTTAGCTCCTCCCCACGTGGACCTCTCCATAGGGCTGCTTGAATGTCCTCACAGCATGGCTGCTGGCATCCCCCAGAGTGAAGGGTCCAAAAAAGAGAGCAAGACAGAGGCTGCAGTGCCCTTTAGGACATAGCCTCTGAAGGTCTCAGTTTCAGAAGTCTCACACTATCACTTCCGCCACATTCTGTTTGTCAGAAGTGAGTCCTTGAGTACTGCCTACACTCAAGAAGGAAAGAAGACTCCATCCTAGGAGGAAAACAGAAGAGTCTGTGGACATACCTCAAAACCACTCAAGAAGGGATCATTCCTGGCAGGCCATCTTATGGGATATTTGTAAAATACCCATCATTCATTCATTTGTTTATTGACAAATGAATATTTGCCAAGGGCTCCACTCCATGTAGCAAGCAGGTGCTCATGGGGCTATTGTGAGGATGATGACTGAGGCTAGGAGGAAAACGAGAACAAAAGTGAAAATAGAAGCTCCGTGAGGCCAACATTTGTCCAAACATACAGCCATAGTAAGTGATAAGGGCATTACCAACTCCTTTTCTCTCTGTGACATTTCCTTAGGGTAAGAGGTCAGATAAGTTGGGTTTAAACATAGCTTTGCTACTTCCGAGCTGTATGATCTGGGCCTTAGTCTCCTCATCTATAAAATGGACATGCTCTCTATTTTAAACACACAAAATATACATTATCCACAAAATCTAACGATATGTCTAAAGATATACAAAGATTCAAAACAAGGGGATGGAAAAAAACTCACCAACCAAATGGAGAGCAAAAATAAATAAATAAAAAGCAGGAGTTGCAATTCTCACACTTAATAAAATAGATTTCAAAGCTACAAGGATGCAAGGGTAAAAGGATTAATGTAACAATAAGAGATCTTAACACCCAGATACATAAGACACATAATGAGATTTAGATTCAACGAGACAACAAATTGATAACGATATCCAGGACTTGAACTCAGAGCCAGAACAAATAAACACAATAGAGGTCTCCATTTTAAACACATAAAATATGCATTAACCACTTTAAACACTCAAAATATTGATCGGCCATTATTGAAACCCATTTTAGGAATGAAGTAATATTCCTTTTTCCCTCTTTTTCTTTTTTTCTCCTTCTTTTTCTCTTTTTCCCTCAAAAAAAAAAAAATGGACATAACCATTGTTCCTACCTCCTGGGTAGCTATGAGGTCTAAATGGATTCAAGGTGCCTAGGACACTATTGGGCACAGAGTGAGCACTCAAACATGTTTTCCATCTGTATTATTATTATAGTCTCACAGGTATCCTTTGGGTTGGTTGGCCCAGAAACTTCAGGGTCAGTCCTTGATGTTTTTATAGCTAAAACCCTAATTTCTTTTTTCATTTTTTATTTTTTTGAGACAGAGTCTCGCTCTGTCACCAAGCTGGAGTGCAGTGCTGCAATCTCAGCTAACTGCAACCTCTGCCTCCCAGGTTCAACTGATTCTCCTGCCTCAGCCTCCTGAGTACCTGGGACTACAGGTGCGCACCACCATGCCCAGCTAATTTTTGTATTTTTAGTAAAGACGAGGTTTTACCCTGTTGGCCAGGATGGTCTTGATCTCTTGACCTCATGATCCGCCTGCCTCAGCCTCCTAAAGTGCTGGGATTACAGGAGTGAGTCACTGCACCCAGCCCAAAACCCTAATTTCATGGGTCGCACACACCCTCTTCTGCCAGCCGCATGGTGTCTATGAATAAGAACTAGACCTGGTTAGAAACCAGCTCTACTGCTTACCTGCTGTGTGACCTTGGGAAAACCCTTCACATCTCTGAGCCTGATTCCTTATTGTGAATTAGGTAGTACCTCATACCTAGGGCCTGGACTTTGTTTAGTATAAGGGTGGGAGACGGGGATACAGTGTAAATAAGACATGGTCTTGCTTCAAGGTGTCTTAGTTGGGCTTCTCTTGCTATCACAGAAGACCTGAGACTGGGTAATTTCTCTTAAAAAAGAGGTTGTTTTGGCTCACAGTCCTGGAGGCTGAAAGTCCAAGAGTGGGCAGCCACATCTAGTTGGCCTCTGGGGAGGGCCTCATGCTGCATCCTGACATGGTGGAAGGCATCTCAGGACGAGAGGGTGCACGAAAGGGAGCCAAACTGGCTTTTTTTGGGGGGGGCGGGGGATGGAGTTTCACTCTTGTTCCCCAGACTGGAATGCAGTGGCTCAGTCTCGGCTCACTGCAACCTCCACCTCCTGGTTTCAAACAATTCTCCTGCCCATGCCTCCTGAGTAGCTGGAATTACAGGCACATGCCAACACGCCTGGCTAATTTTTGTATTTTTAGTAGCGATAGGGTTTTATCATGTTGGTGAGGCTGGTCTCGAACTCCTGACCTCAGGCGATCCGCCCACCTTGGCCTACCAAAGTGCTGGGATACAGGCGTGAGCCACCGCGTCCAGCCTCAAACTGGCTTTTATAGCAGATCTCACTCATGATAAACAACCTACTTCCATGATAACCAATTAGTCCATTAGCCCATTAGTCCATTAATCCAAAAATGAATTAATGAATTCATGAGAGCAGACCCTTCATGACCCATTCATCTCTTAAAGACCCCACCTCTTAATACCATTATGTTGGTAACAGTATTAAGTTGCTTCTGACCCAGCCCATCTATGGGTCATCAAAAGATGCTGCGTTTCTAGCAAGCTCCTGGTGATGCCTGTGGTACTGGTCCATGGACCACACTTTACTTTCTCTAGCTATTTAATAATGTAAATTAATTGTAAATTTAAAAATCCAGTCCCTCAATCACACCAGCCACATTCTGAGTGCTCAGTAGTCACATGTGGCAAGTGGCTTAACAAAACTCGGGTTTAAACATGTGTTTTGGAGGGGACAAACATTCAAACCATAGCACAAGGTGTCCACGTGTTAGTGGGGGAGGCAGACACATGGTATTAATGGCTCTACAGTTTGCTACAGGCCATTAATAGAGGTGGGTCTCAGCCGGATGTGGTGGTTTACGCCTGTAATCCCAGCACTCTGGGAGTCTGAGGCGGGTGGATCACCTAAGGTCAGGAGTTCGAGACCAGCCTGACCAATGTGGTGAAACCTCGCCTCTACTAAAAATACAAAAATTAGCCAGGGGTGGTGGTGGACCCCTGTAGTCCCAGCTACTCGGGAGGCTGAGGCAGCAGAATCACTTGAACTTGTGGGGCAGAGGTTACAGTGAGCTGAGATTGTGCCACTGCACTCCAGCCAGGGTGGCAGAGTGAAACTGTCTCAAATTAAAAAAAAAAAATAGAGATGGGTCTTTATTATACTAAGCACCCTGGGAGGAGCACAGAGAAACAATACCCTAGGGAATGGGAAGGCCCTTTGTAAACTGTCTAGTGCCACAACAAGGTAAAGGATTATCATCATTACAAAATATACCCTTTCACCTGGAATTGGAAGAAGAGGATTTGGACAGATAGAGAAAGAGAGGAAAGTCCTTCAGGCAGGAAGCCTATATATAGCAGATGCAAAGTATGGGGATGGAGATGGGGAGTCTCCACCTGGCTCCAGGGAAGAGTATAGGTTTTGGTGTACTGAGAGACGAGACCAGTGGGATTACAGATACTGACTGTTTGACAGGAGAGATGTGGATAAGAATGAATTTTAATTCTTATATTGTCCAAGCCTTGTGTTTCAGATGTGAAAACCAAGTCTCAGAGAAGCAAAGTCTCCCAGGCATTCTGTGCCAAACGCAGTTGCCCTGAACCCAGTGCCCTTTGCACTCCGTCCTGCTGTTTAGAGCTGCTCGGCCTCTCCTTACTCCCTAACTCTGGGGACCGCATCCCATTGGCCTGTCTCCCCTGAACTCTCTTCTCTGCCCCACCCTCTCGTCTCTTCCAGAAGAAAGCCCCCTGGCTCTCCCACTGGATGGTGCCCCAGCTTCAGCTGCCCAAGCCCCCTGCCCTGTCGGCCATGTACTCTTACCTGCATAATCGCAAGATCAAGATCCTGGAGCTATTTCACAAGGTGGGCCAAGGTGAGAACCAGAGAATCACCAGGGAGGAGTTCATCATGGCTGTAAAGGCAGTAAGTGCCACCTGCTTTCTCTGGATGGGCCTAAGTGGGCAGGATGTCCATGTATTCCCTCTTGCCCCCTCCCACCACCGGGTTCTGGTTCAACTGAGAAGTACACCCAAGGAGTGAAAACTGTCAGTCTTATTACTTGTAAAGGCAGATTGGAAAATATGGATTAACTCGTGGCCAAATCAGATCCTTAAAATCTATCCCACACCAGTCGGACCTTGAAAAACCCCGCCTGAGTTGAAAGTCTGCAGAGTTAACCTTATAACCAGCCAGCTACCTTGGGGGATCCCTATCTTGCACAGCAGACCCCAAAACCAAGATCAGAGAAAGCTGGTAAAGTGTCTCCAACTGTCACTGGCATATAAGTTACATGGAGGTCCTTTCGAAATGCAGCTTCTGACCCAGCACATCTGTGGATCATCAAAAGATGCTGTATTTCTAACGAGCTCCTGGTGAAGCCTGTGCTGCCAGTCCATGGGCCACACTTTTACTTTCACTGGCTATTTAACAATGTAAATCAGTTATAAATGTAAAACTCCAGTCCCTCAATCACAACAGTCACACATTTTGAGTGCTCAGTAGTGACATGTGGCAAGTGGCTTCTCCACTGGACTGCACAGAAGTAGAACATTTCCATCATCATGGAAAGTTGTATCGGCCTAGCAGTGGTCTGCAGACTGGCTCATGAGACAAGTCCAGCCTGCTTTCATTGGAACACAGCCACACTCATTCATCCTTGAATTGCCTATGGCAGCTTTCATGCTACCATGGCAGAGTTGAGCAGTATGTCACAGACCGTATGGCTAGCAAAACCTAAAATATTTACATCTGACTTTTTTACAGGAAAAGCTTGCTAACCCCTAGTCTAGATGAATTAAGCTTTTATATCTTTTTAGTGTAAGATACTTTACCCTGGCATGATGGCTCATGCCTGTAATCCCCAACACTTTAGAAGGCCAAAGTGAGAAGATTGCTTGAGGCCAGGAGCTTGGGACCAGCCTGGGTAACATAGTAAGACTCCCATCTCTACAAAAAATTTTAAAAACTTAGTCCAGTATGGTGGCACAATACCTGTAGTCCCAGCTACCTGGGAGGCTCAGATGTGGAGATCACTGAAGCCCGGGAGTTAGAGGCTGCAGTCAGCTCTGATCACACCACTACACTCCAGCCTGGGTGACACAGCAAGATCCTGACTCAAAAGAAACCCAAACAACAACAACAACAAATACCTTAAACAACTTTAGGAAGTTGACTGTGATGTCTTTGTGGTTTTAAATTATTATCAGTTTTCTCACACATGTTTTATGACATATAATTATCTCAACAACACTTCAAAGCATTTAAAGATAATGGTCTTTAATCTCTATAAGAGAAAAGCGAAATATTAAGTTCTTTAGCACCAGGAGAGTTCTTTTTTTTTTTTTTGAGATGGAGTTTAATTGTTGTCACCCAGGCTGAAGTACAATGACATAGTCTTGGCTCACTGCAACCTCCACCCCCCTGGTTCTAGCAATTTTCCTGCCTCAGCCTCCCAGGTAGCTAGGATTACAGGCATGTGCCACCACCCCTGGCTAATTTTCTGTTTTTAGTAGAGGTGGTATTTCACCATGTTGGTCAGGCTGCTCTCAAACTCCTGACCTCAGGTGATCCGCCCACCCTGGCCTCCCAAAGTGTTGGGCATACGGGTGTGAGCCACTGCTCCCGGCCGGCACCAGGAGAGTTCTGATCTTACTTAAGGAAAGTTCAAGGTCAGGCACAGTGGCTCACGCCTGTAATCCCAGCACTTTGGGAGGCCAAGACAGGAGGATCGCTTGATGCCAGGAGTTTGAGTAAAGTTCAGTGAACAATGACTATTGTTTAAAGAAACTGAAGAACAAAATCATATTTCCTTTAAAACTTTTCTTATTGAATATCCAATGTTGCTGGCAAGCATTATATACCTCCAGAGTTGCTTGAGGTGTATGGTATTCTAGATCCCATTTTACAGGAGTTAAGGGAGATTTATGTGTTACTTGTGGACAGGAATGATCCACATGTGAAATCGTGCTTCCAGCATGGTAGAGACTGGTAGGAAGTGGGGCGGAAGCCTAGAGGAAGAAGTAACCTACTCTATAAAGATGGTGACATCTGGACTGGACTTTGAAGGAGGAATAGGAGTTTTTCAGGCAGAGGGAGAACTGCCTGAGCAAAGGCAAAGGTAGGAAAGTGCAGAGCTTGTTCGAGGACCAGGAAAAGGCTCTGAGCTCCTGCAGCAGGGACCTTGGGTATAGTAGGAAGTGGCTGAGGATGAAACTGGAAGTGGGATGGGGGTCGTAGGTATCTGGTAAGGCCTTGGCCTGTCACAGCAGGAGGTTTGGATGGGAGCTGCTAGTCTCAGGGCCTTCTCTCTCCTCAGGTTGGAGTCCCTCTGAAGAACCAGGAAGTGGAGGATATAGTGATCTATCTCAGCTCTCTTGGGAAGCACAACACCATCACCATGGATATCCTGGCCAAAACCTATAAGCAGTGGTCTGTGGCTCAGCGAAGGAGCAGCCTGGCCACTGCAAGGGAGCGTGCGTACCCCTCCCCATCCTGGGAGTGAGCATGGTGTAGGCAACCTTGGCCTCTTTTCCAGACTCACTTCCTCAGTGTGCTCCCCAATTTGGCTGACTGTAGTTTGGCCAAGTCTCCGGAAATTTTCAGGCCCAGAGATCAACTAAGGAGTAGATTTCCTTGAGTGCCCAGCTACCACTGTGTCCATTCAAAGACAAATAAGTCCCAGCCCTTGTTCTTAGAGGAGGATACTCAGCACACCAGAGCTTACCTGAGAGACTGAGAACTGACCCAAATGGCAAGCCTTTCCAGAGACATTTATGTGTATGTGGGTCCAAGGCTTCCTCATTATTAATCCGTAGCGTATTGATAAAATTCTTGTTCAGAACCAGAGTTAGCATATGTTTAGAGTTTACTGGAAAGTATATTTTGGTATTCTGCTATCAGGGGTATTATGGCAGGGTTGCTGTGAACAGTTGTAAAGGTTGTGCACAGCTCAAGTTCCATCTGCCAAGCGATATACTTGTAGGGCTCCATTTGTCCAGACAAGGCACAGAAGCAAATTAGAAATGGATTTGCTAAAGCTCTGGCTGTGAATTTACTCTACAACACAACGGTGCATTGTATAGTATTTCTTTATATCTTAGTACCATTCTTGTAAACAAACAAAAGACCAAAATAATTACAACTACCCACCCATTCTAGCACCCTCCCCAAATATAGATACAGCTTTGTTTTTCTAAATGAAACAAATCTTGCTTTGTTTCCATCCACCAGGTTGGCAGGAATTTAATCTCACACATGATTGGGGCCTCCTTGTCCTCCCTGAGTCACACAGGAGCTCTGGAGGAGGCAGTGGAGAGGGGTTTCCTTACAATGGTAATAACGATCAAGGGTGAGGCCATTGGAGTTCATGGTCACATCAAGTGGAGTTACTCAGCATCTTCATTGGAGTGGCTCATTTGGGGACAGCAGGCAGCTCAGAGCACCTGTTCCTCAGTCCTCCAGGAGATTTTCAATGTCCAGTCTCAAGCAGCTGCCCTGCAGAGACACCATCACCTTCCAAGCAGGGTCTTTGGGGGGACAGTCACCTCCTGCATGTATCACCACCCCAACAGTAGTAATCTTTACATTCAGCACATTTTTAAGGTCACCACGAGTTGGGCATGCTTTCCCTCTATACTCTTTGTTCCTTTTTGTTATAAATTACCACGCTCATCACTATCTGTGAGCTGGCTGTGAGTCATTTGAATGACCCCAGTGTGCTGTGATGCTCATTCACAGCAGAGGTATTTGGGGCCTGTTATTTCCCAGAAGGTAAACACAGAGCCAAGAAGCAGACATTTGTTCTCATGATGCTATGTTTGCATCATCACTGTGTTATTTTTCCCTGGGGTGCAGCAGCAGGTAAGATAGGTAGACTTGAGTATATAAGAATTAAAGAAAGAGAAAAGAAACATGAAAGGTGGCTCAACAGTCAAGTTTATTTTAGAGAAAACAAACCTCAGAGGGGCTTCTGGTCGAACTAGGTCAGAGCCACACTCTCTTACAGACTACAAGTTTTTAAGGATTCAGGGTAGGAGAGTTTATCAGAGGCTTTGTTGTGTCTCTGCTGTGCTTATCTGGGAGGGAGAGTTGTGTGTCCGTTCCCATACCTCTTTCTGTAGCTGCAGGTGCACTCCCCAGAGTCTGCCTTTAGCTTCCCTGTCTTAGTGCACCTAAAGGGAAGGAATGTGCTTATTAAGGCCCACTGTTTTACTGGGGCCCATTGTTTGAGCCTGAAGTTTGGCAGTTACCCAAGAGACTTTCCCCCCACCTCCCTCTGTGCCCAAGCTGTCTTATCTGTGTTTTACTGTCTGCTCTTTCTGTCTGCTTGTAGTGAGAAGAGAAGTGATTTCCTTGAAATGCATGAGGCCAGAAAGGGAGCTGGAACTTAAAGTGGCAGTGTTTGTCTAAGATGATGGTGCTCCTGCTCTGTCAGGGTGTCTTTCACTTTGTCTAAAGAGGCAGAAGTTTGAGCATCTTGGCAGGGGTGCCTTTTTCCAGTAGTTCTTCTTGCAGTAGCTCTTTTTCATTCTTGCAGAATGATCTCAGTTTATCCTCCATGTCCCCAGAGGTCAGGGTTGCTATTCCTGCTTTACGAGGAGGAAGCTGGAGCTCATAGAGGCTGAGCCACTTGTTCACAGCCTCAACAGAAGCTGGTAAGGTCAGGATATTATTTCAGCTTGAGACAATGAAGTTCTGAACCAGGCCAGGGACAATGCATTCTTTCATTCATTAGGATCTTTGTTGAGCACCTACTATGTGCCTCTTCTAGAAACTGGGAACACAGCAGTAAACCAGCCAAAGCCCCAGCTTTCAATGAGCTTGCACCTTAAGGGATAGTTGTCAGGGAAGGCCTCTCTGAGAAGCAGGCATCTGAGTGATTGACAGGAACTAGTCTTGGGGAAAGCACATTCTAGGCAGATGGAACTGCAAAGGCAAAGGCCCTGGGACAGGAAAGCTTGCAAGAGATAGAAGGTGGTCAGGGTGGCTGGGTGGAATGGGTAAGGGGTGAACAATACACCATGGACCAGGTAGGAAGGCAGCTGAGGCCAGATCGTGCAGCAGGGCCTTGTAGCCCAGAGAAAGGACTCTGGGTTTTGGTCTAAGTGCTGTGGGAAACCAGGATAATGAGGTGATCTAGTCTGTCTGTCTGTCTGTCTGTCTGTCTGTCTGTCTGTCTGTCTATTTATCTATCCACATATATATTCAGCAATGGGGCCTCCTTATGTTGCCCAGGCTGGATTGAAGTGGCTATTCACAGGTGTGATCATAGCTCAAATCCTGCAGCCTCGAATTCCTGAGTGTAAGCCATCCTCCCACTGCAGCCTTTCGAGTAGCTGGAACCACAGGCATGCCACTGCACCCTGCTCTCTATATGTATATATATTTTGGGGGAACAGAGTTTTGCCCTGTCATCCAGGCTGGAGAGCAATGGCACAATCTCTTCTCACTGCAACCTCTGCCTCCTGGGTTCAAGCAATTCTCCTGTCTCAGCCTCCTGAGTAGGTGGGACTACAGGCACACACTACTGCACTCAACTAATTTTTGTATTTTTAGTAGAGATGGGGTTTCACCATACTGGTCAGGCTGGTCTCAAACTACTGACCTCAGCTGATCCACCCGCCTCGGCCTCCCAGAGTACCCTGTTCTATATTTTTTAAAGATCCGATTTGCTGCTTGGTGAAACAGGGTGACAGAGGATGAGAATGGCTGCCAGAGGGCTGGGGTCGGTGCAGTATGGGAGGCCATTAGTGGAGATGGAGAGGAGGGACACATCCACGGTACAGCTCAGGTGGGCACTGCCCAGATGTGTGGGAAGGGAGCAGAGGGGTGGCCTGGTGTCTGCTGGGTGACACTGGATAACTACTTGGCGGGCACCCCTCTTAGTCCCACCTCCCTTCATCTCTTCCCTCCTACTCTAGGTCATATCTTGGCCAAGCACAAAGATTCCCTGAAGGGTCTGCTCAAGAAGCAGGAGGTGAATTCAGCCCCACAGCTTCCCAAGGTGGACCTGCTGACGGTGCCTGCAGTTGACACGCAGATGGAGGCGCGGCCCATGACCCTGGAGGAGATGGAGGAAGTGGGCAAGCGATACCGCGAGCGGCAGCGACAGCGCAAGGTACCCGCCAGGAGGGCACAGGCCTTGGGGACTGGAGCAGCTGTGGTTCAGGTCACTGCAACAGCACCACGTGCTGGCTGCAGAACCCTGGGAAGGGGGTCTTCACCTCTACAACCACCCCCTCTTCACATCTCTCAGCTGTAAAACCAGAATAGTACCTGCCTCGTGAGGTTTTTGTGAAAATGTACTAAGATCCTCTTTCTGTAAATATCACGTCCCCCTCTTCCTATTCTTTAATTATGACTTCATCCTGAGACCAGGCCTGTATTTTCATCACAGCTGGAATCCAGGTACCTGGCACAAGGCCTGGCACTGGGTAGACTCTCTAGAAATAATATGGCAATTGAAGGAAGGAAGGACTGATTGCATGAATTAGCTTGTCCAGTAAACATTTACTAAGAGCCTGCCAGGTGCCAGTCACTCTTCTGGGTATTGTAATAAGCGTAACAGTCCCTGCCCCTAGGAAGCTGGCAGTCTAGTAAGGGAGGCAGACAACATCAATACAATAATACATATAAATACTCATATGTAACATAGGCTGGGAGTGGTGTCTTGCACCTGTAATCAGCACTTTGAGAGGCCAAGGTAGGAGGATTGCTTGAGTCCAGGAATTCGAGGCCATCCTAGGCAACATAGGGAGATCCTATCTCTACAAAAAATTTAAAAAGTTAGCCCAGCATGATGGCATGTGCCTGTGGTCCTAGCTACTTGGGAGGCTGAGGTAAGAGCATTGCCTGAGCCCAGGAGGTTGAGACTGCAGTGAGCTAAGATCGCACCACTGCACTGGGGTAAAGAGCATGACCTTGTCTCAAAAAAAAAAAAAAAAAAAAGATTATATACAGGCCAGATGCAGTGGTTCATACCTGTAATCCTAGCACTTTGGGAGGCCAAAGTTGGAGGATTATTTGAGGCCAGGAGTTTGAGACCAACCTGGGCAACATAGCAAGGCTCCATCTCTACTCAAAATTTTTAAAAAATTAGCCAGCATGGAGCCATGTGCCTGTGGTTCCATCTGCTGAAGAGGCTGAGGCCAGAGGATGGCTTGAGCCTGGGAGGTCAAGGCTGCAGCGAGCTATGATTGCACAACTGCACCCCAGCCCAGGCTACAGAGTGAGACTGTGTCTCTAACAAAATAAAATAAACATATATATATATAATAAAAATACATATTTGTATTTATACCTATGATATTTGTATTTGTACATATAATAAAATGGCAGATATTGCTAAGTGCTATATCAACTAAGATTTTATTCAGTTGCATGACAAGAAAACCCAAAATGTTTGAGCAGGGACCAGCAAAGTTCCCCTGGAAAGGGCCAGAAAGTAAACATTTGAGGCCTGGCAGGCCATCTGTTGTCTGTTGCAACTGCTCAGCTCTGCTGTTGCAGCAGGAAAGCAGCCACAGACAGCATCTAAACAAATGAGAATGGCAGCGCTCCAACAAAACTTTATTTATAAAAACAGGTACTGGGCCAGATTTGGCCCATGGGTGGTTCTTTGTCGATCCTGGTGTTAGAAGCTTTAAAATATAGGGTTAAAAAAAAGAAGGTGGTGGCAGCCAGCAAAAGCAGCTCCCTGCTCCGCCAGCCTCCTTCTACCTTATCTCATGGCTTTTGTCTCAAGGTCACAGACGGCTGCTCCTAATTTAAATCCCCATATAGCCAAACACTCAGCTGTCACTTTTCTTTTCTTTTTTTGAGACAGTTTCACTCTACTGCCCGGGCTGGAGTGTAGTGGCTTGATCTTGGCTCACTGCAGCCTCAACTTCCCAGGCTCAAGCCATCCTCCACTTCAGCCTCCTGAGAAGCTGGGACTACAGGCGCACACCACCATGCCCAGCTAATTTTTGTATTTTCTATAAAGACATGATTTGCCATGTTGCCCAGGCTGGTCTTAGACTCGTGGGCTCAAGTGATCCTCCTGCCTTGGTCTCCCAAAGTGCTGGGGTTGCAGGTGTGAGCCACCTTGTGGTCCTACGAATGTCGTTTTTCAATAGGACACCTCTAGGGCATGTGTACTGTGTTTTACTGTATATCTTACACAATCATGTGTGCACACCACACACCCATCTACAGGGCTGTGACTTCAGAACTTGAGCTTCCAAACCTGAAGTCAGTTGAAGTCTTCACCGACTTCAGAAACTGAACTGCAGCCCCACTGTACTTGGTTGCCATCACCCCTTATAGTGGAGAGGTTGATGAGGCACTGCATCTGCCTTCTGACCAGAAGGGACACAGGCAATAGAAGGGTGAACCCCTCTCTACTTCCTTCACAGCTCACAATCCCCTCCATCCAGTACACAGAGCAGTGCCGCATGGTACGCTGTAGGAATCAGCACTTTGACGAGCACTGCCTCCCATCCACCATCCACGGGGATATGGGGGAACTCATTGACTCAGCCCACAGGCACAACTTTCTGGTCTACCTTCGATGCTGGAAGCTCTGTGAGTCCTATGGCATCCCGCTGACGGAGGACATCCTCATGAAAGGTAAGGGCCTGGGTGGCTGGCTCTAGGAAGATGCCAAGGGGACCCCAGAGCTGGGACAAAAGTGATGCCACCTAAGGTACCCATGCAGCCATTCAAGCCAGTGTGGTCTCTGGTGGGGATGTTGGGAATAAGGCAGAGTGGGGGTGTGGAGAAGAAGAGGAGGAGCCCAGTCTGTTTTGCTGCTAGATGGGATTTCTAGAACATAAGGCTTGGAGGTCTGGATTCTGGAACCCTGAGCTTAGTGAGCCGGAAGCTCATTCTAAAGTAGAAAGCTCCAAGGACAGGAGTTCTGAGTGAGAAACCCTGAGGCTGAACATAAAGGAAGAGGGAGGTTTGGTAGAAATGGTAACTGCTGTCAAAACAAAGCCTTTCTCTAGGCCATGCTGTTGCTTGGTTCTTCTGTAACAAGCAGTGAGGTACAAATGCACCTGGAGACAGGACTGGCTGAGGCCCTTTGAGCAGAGAGCGCTCAGACTCAGCCCTGAGATTTCCACACCGCTTCTGCCCTTGCTTGGGTGGAGAACATGTTTTCATACATTCAAGCCGTTCTGAGCCCGCTGTGTCTCTGGGGAGCGAGCACTTCTAATAGGTGGGGGTGGAGAAGGGTTCAGCTCCTAGATGACAATTTAGCAATGCCTGCATTCCAAACTTATGAATTGGTGAATGTATAAATTTGTTTTGTTTTGAGACAGAGTCTAACTCTGTCACCCAGGCTGGAATCTAATGGCGTGATCTTGGCTCACTGCAACCTCCAATCCCAGGTTCAAGCAATTCTGCCTCAGCCTCCCGAGTAGCTAGGACTAAAGGTGCTCACCACCACGCATGGCTGATTTTGTATTTTTAGGAGAGACAGGGTTTCACCATGTTGGCCAGGCTGGTCTCAAACTCCTGACTTCAAGTGATCCACCCACTTTAACCTCCCAAAATCCTGGGATCACAGGCATGAGCCACCACACCTGGCCTGGTGAATGTATAAATTTAATGGGCAGCATCCTCTCTCTGCTTTACAAACATGAAGGAACAAGCTGTACCTGGAGGCAGAGGTTTTCTCCTAGGAACCGCTACCCAGGGAGGAACTGTGGCCATACTGGGAAATGTGGCTTTCTGAGAAAGGAACACATCACACAGGCAGTGGTGTGACTTAATGTGAGAACTAGACTTTACAGTCACAGTGGATTATTACCATCTTTTTCCCAAGAGGGAGGGAAACAAATGCTGAATGTATAGGGCCTTGGGTCTTCTTCAATTACTTTGCTAGGGCTGCCATAACAGAATACCAGTCTGTGGACTGGGTGGCTTGCACAACAGGAATTAATGTTTTCACTGTTCTGGAGGCTGGAGGTCCCAGGTCAAGATGCCAGCAGGGCTGGTTTCCAAGGCCTTCAAGGCCTCTCTCCTTGGCTGGCAGATGACTGCCTCCTTGCTGCCTCCACACGGTTTTTCCTCTGCACGTGCACACCTGGTGTCTCTCTTGTGTGTCCACATTTTCTCTTATAAGGACACCAGTCAGATTGGATAGGGCCCACCCATGGACAGCCTTGTTTTAGCTTGATCACCTCCTTAAAGACTTTATCTTCAGGCTAGGCACAGTGGCTCACCCTAGTAATCCCTGTGTCTCACCCTAGAAATCCCAGTACTTTGGAAGGCAGGAAGAGAGGTTGATTCCAGTTCAAGGCTATAGTGAGCTATGATCATACCACTGCACTCCAGCCTGAGTGACAGAGCGAGACCCCATCTTAAAACAAAACAATATCTCCAAATAAAGTCACATCCCTTTTTTTTTTTAACCTCAGCTATCACATTCTAGCAGGGTAAAATGGCTCACACCTATAACCCCAGCACTTTGGGAGGCCAAGGTGGGTGGATTACTTGAGCCCAGGATTTCAAGAACAACCTGGGCAACATCACAAAACCCCATCTCTACAAAAAATACAAAAATTCATCAGACATGGTGGCATGTGCCTGTAGTCCCAGCTACTCAGGAGGCTGAGGTAGGAGGATCACTTGAGCCCAGAAAGTCAAAGTTGCAGTGAGCCGAGATCGCACCACTGCACTCCAGCCTAGGTGACAGAGCAAGACCCTTTCTCTCTCTCTCTCTCTTACACACACATGCGTGCACACACACACAATCACATCACATTCTAAGGTACTAAGGATTAGAATTACAACATATGAATTTTAGGGAGACACAGTTTGGCCCATAAGAAATGTGTACAGGTGAATGTGGTCAGAGGCTCTCAGGAACACAGGCAGGCAACTTCAGTGGTCGTTGTCTCCCACATGTGCTGCCTAGGCTGGGAGGGCAGAGATAGAGGGAGAGCCTGTAGCTCTGGATGCAGACTTTTCACCAAAATGTCTCTCCTTCCTCCTTCCTTGGGGAGCCTCACATTTCCTGATTATTTACCCCATGGTCTTATGCAATGGTAGAGTTGCCGTTCTCTTCTAAAATGCAAGCTAGCTTGCCATGCGCCCTGGACTGCTCCTCCAGTTTAGGTCTTCCCCTGTGTGCCTCCTTTGTCTGTCCTCAGCAGAACATTGAGCCACTGTTTTTTTGATTTTTTTTTTTTAGAGATGGGGTCTTGCTTTGTTGCCCAGGCTGATCTCGAACTCCTGGGCTCAAGTGATCCTCCCACCTCAGCCTCCCAAAGTACTGGGATTATAGGCTTGAGCCGCTGCATCCAGCTTTGGACCACTGTTGATTCTCTCCACCACTGGTTTTTGCTAGCTGCTGGGTTTCTACATGGGTGAGCTTCAGCTGTCTGCAGGATCTCACGTTCATGGGCACATGGAGCATCCTGTGGCTGGGACTAGGCCCTAATCCTCTTTGACCACTGTCTTGGCCGCTGTCTGTTGGGTATCTTTATGAGAGAGGCCTGATCTCCTGTAAGCAGAAAGGCTCAACTATGAGGATTTCCAGCTCTGAGCTCTAGACGAGACATTGGTGACTCAGACTCCAGGCCTCAAGCTCAGGAGCCAGAATTCTAAACAAGGTCTCTTCCTCCTCTGTGAATACAGCTTTATTGGCTTTCCACCCTGGTTTTGGCAATAATGCTTGCTCATTTGAATTTTTTGAAAACATAAAAATCAAAATTCCCCCAGCCTGAGTTGGCCATTGTGAATATTTTAGTGACCATCCTTTCACAAATCTCTTTTTCTCATTTACAGAAAATTATTTACATAACTCATTTTTAAATCAAACTTTTTTTTTTTTTTTGAGATGGAGTCTCGCTCTGTTGCCAGGCTGGAGTGCAGTGGCGCAATCCTGGCTCACTGCAACTTCCGTTTTCTGATTTCAAGCAATTCTCCTGCCTCAGCCTCTCAGGTAGCTGGGATTACAGGCATGCACCACCATGTCCGGCTAATTTTTTGTATTTTTAGTAGAGACAGGGTTTCACCATGTTGGCCAGGATGGTCTCAATCTCTTGACCTCGTGATCCACCTGCCTTGGCCTCCCGAAGTTCTGGGATTATAGGTGTGAGCCACTTTTAAATCATACTTTAAAAAATCATGTATACCTTTTGAAAATATTGATGTTACATATCTCCCCTTCCCTTTCCTTCCTTCTCAACTCCACAGCCCCTTCCCAACTCCCAAATAACCAACATTGACTAGCTGGAGTGTAACTTCCATCACTTTTTCTAGAACGTGAGATTTTATGTGTTATCATCTTAAGACAAGCACTGGCTCAATAGTTGCAGGAAGGTGGAGACCCTGGCTCAGTTTTTTTTATATTTAGCACATCTTAGAAAACTCTCCTAAGGATATCCTTAGGTGAGATTAATTCAAACAAGGAGAAAACTGCCACCAAACAAATCTAAGTGGGCCAGGCACAGTGGCTCACGCCTGTAATCCAAACACTTTGGGTAGGTAGGATGGCTTGAGCTCAGGCGTTCCAGACCAGCCTGGGTAACATAGCAAGACCCCATCTCTACTAAAAATTTAAGAAATTAGCCAGGCATGGTGGTGCATGCCTGTGGCCCTGGCTACTCAGGTGTCTAAGGCGGGAGGGTCGCTTAAGCCCAGGAAGTTGAGGCTGCAGTGAGCCGTGATCTGTACTTTAGCCTGGGTGACAGAGTGAGACCTTGCCTCAGAAAAACAAAACAAGACAGAAAGCAGATCTAAGTTACCCTAGTGAAGTGTTGATGAAATTCTCCTGCCTCCTCCCAGGACAGCTCAGACCTCATTGCACCCAGGTCTTGGGGCCTTTGTTGATCTGGTTATAAACCAGCCCACTCATCTCCAGTCCCCTAAGCCCTATTGTCCCAAGGCCCCTTTCCAGACATCACACTACAGCTGGATGCCATGTCACCACTGGGGCAGCGGCAGTGTTGTTGAAACTATCAGTGAATCTACAACTATTTGACAATAAAAAGTTACCATATAGATAAGAAAAAAACTTTTTTTTTTTTTTTGAGATGGAGTCTCGCTCTGTCGCCCAGGTTGGAGTGCAGCGGCTCCATCTCAGCTCACTGCAACCTCCACCTTCCAGGTTCAAGCAATTCGCCTGCCTCAGCTCCAGAGTAGCTGAGATTATAAGTGCATGCCACCACAACCGGCTAATTTTCGTATTTTTAGTAGAGACAGGGTTTCACCATGTTGGTCAAGCTGGTCTTGAACTCCTGACCTCATGATCCATCTGCCTTGGCCTCCCCAAAGTGCTGGGATTACAGGTGTGAGCCCCTGTGCCCAGACCAGAAAAAAACTTCTTAAACAAAAATGTGAATTGAAAACAACATCAAACCTCATCTGACCCCAGCGACTCAGGGAGGGATGAGTGGTCCGGGTTGATGGTGGCAGATGTTTCTCTTGCTATCCCCAGCCTTGCTGTACCCAGGAGACAAGATCATTTTCCAGAAGGATGAGGTGCGCCCCATCCGGCAGCCAGGAGGCTACTACTCTGAATGGAAGGCCTTTTCTCCAAATGTGGCTCTGCTCCAGTCCCAGGGCGCTGGCGAGTCTAAGAGTGACAAGCTGAGTTTCGGACCCCCTTTCTCCCTGCCCTGGCCTCCTGCCCCATTGCTGTCCCTTCAGTGTGGGGGCTAGAGGCTGGCATACCTGGGGTGCCATGCCATGCCCATGTACGCATCCTAGGGCAGCATCCCCAACCTGACTGCTCACTGCAGACTGGCCAATCCCAAGTCACCTTTGGCACATGTCTCAGGATCACGGCCTGCTGGCCTCAGCTCCCACACAGCTACCCTCCTGAACCCAGTCCTGTACAATCACAAGGTTTCTGGAAAAGATGAAAAGGAGGGTCTTCTTAGAGAACAGGGCTGGAGTAAGGGCCTTTGCAAATCTCCAACTAGGGGTCAGGGCCCTGCAGAGAACAGGGGGGCAGCCCTTTCTTGGCCCTGCCACCTTGCCTCTGACACACCCCTTCTCTGGCAAGAGGTGAGCTTGCAGCTCCTGGGAGGAGAAAGGAACATGTCCCTGGGCCCTGTCCCTAGCCCTTGCGGGAGACCAACCTGAGTCCTCTCTAAGAAAATGGGCTCCTTTGGTACTCCAAAGCCTAAGCTTCCCATATTTGAGTCAAGCAGCAGGTGACAAACCGTGGGCAGCATCAGTGGGTGACTACAGAGGAACAAGGCAGCATCCCTGCAGAGGGAGGGGCCCAGCATGGGAAGAGGAGAGCCCAGCTGGCCAGATACCATGAGGCAGGAGGGGCCTGGACCTGCCCCTGCCTCTAGACCCCTGTCAGCTGCCCACTGGGTGTGTGGCCAGAATGCCTGCGGTGGGATGCAGCAGGGCCTTGTAGAGATCAGACAGCCCTCGGGTTAAATGGATAAAGCACTTCTCTGAGCCTCAGCATCTTCGTGTATAAAGGGCCTAGCAGCTCCTACCATAGACTAACAGGATCAGATGAGAAAGAGTGTCAACATCTTAGCAGTGACAGCACTCCATCAATGATCGTCATTATTTTACCTCGCTCTGGTCAGGGTAGGCCTGACGCTGTTCTCAAGGTCAGGAATAGGCCCAGGCCTGCAGGTGGGTCCCGGCCACAAAATCGGCTGTGACTGCCTTGCAGCCCCGGGATGACCCAGAAAGTGGCTGGCAATCTAGGAAGGAGATTTTGGTCCGTGCTTAGGTAGGCCATAGCTAATAAAGGGTAAAGAGAGGTCTCCTAGGTCAAGGAGAGACATCGTCTATTTAGGATTATGAAAGATTCTGAGGCCAGATGGAGGCTCGGCGGAAGAGTGTGGTGAATGATTAGTGATGTCTGTCAGGCTCAGGGTTGTGAGGTGGTGTGGGAGGGGGTTAGATTTCACCACCTTTGTCCTCAGGGCTGGGTTAAGCTCTGGAGTGGGGAGTGGGAGCCAGGGACCCCAAAAGGATTCAGCAGTGACTTAGTGAACCTCTCTCATAACTACCTGAGAGCTCTCTGTTCTCAGCCATGAGAGAACAGAGTGTGAGAAAGGGGAAGTGACTTGCCCAGGTCACCCGGCCCGATTCTGAGGCTAGGTCCGACTGCCCCAAGCCCACTGTGTTCCCCTGGAGCATGGAAGCACGGAGTCAGGGCCCACCCCAGGTGAAAGGCGTTTTTCTTTCAGAGCTCTGCTTTGAGACTTAGAAATGGGCCCACCCCTGCGGCCCTGACCTACTCCCTAAAGCCCCAATGGCCTGGATTTCCACTCTCCTCACAAAATACCTCTTTCTCCTCCACTAGGAAAACGCCAAAGAAAATCAAGAAAATGCAGTTTAAGGAGTTTGAGGAATTTACCAGGTCTGTGGCAATCATCTCACTCCATCAGGAAGGAAGGTGGGAGGAGGGGCAGCTTCGCCTGAGGTGACTGGGACTCAGCGCTCCTGGCACAACAGCCTCAGGAGCCCTGGCCTGAAAGGCAGTGACAACACAGGGAGGGCCAGGAGGCACTGCTCTGGGGCTTTCCATGTGTTCACTCACCCAAATCCTCCCAACAGCCCTATGAAGGGCCACTAAGCACATTCATTTTACACAGGGAGAAACTGAGGTGCAGAAAGGGTCAATGTCCTGCTCAGAGTCACACATCGATGAAGTGGTGGAGTGGGGATCTGAACCCAGCTAGGGTGACTCCAGGGACTGTACTCTAAACACCGCATTAAAATGCCTCCAGATGACAGATGGTGTACGCTTAAGACTTTGGATTTTAGAGGTGTTGGACAGGGAGTGACGCCTGCACTGGCCACTTGCTCAGTGTGTGTCGGCTTCTTCAGGCCTCTGGGTCCTCACAGGTGAGGTCGACAGGATAACAGAGCCAACCCTATGGAACTATGGGGAGGACTGAGGTGCTGAAGTACTTGACACAGTGCTAAATTTCCACTTGGTCCCAGTTGGTGGGCTCTGGGAGAAGCCTCAGCCCTGTCCTGACTGCCATGACAAGCATCCCTGTGTCTTCCTGTTTTCCAGGAAGCTGAAGGCAAAGAGGGCCAGTGGTCTGCAGCAAACGCACCCCAATTCCTTCTGGCCGGGTCACCTTCTGGATAAGCTGCAGCTCTACCTGCCCACTGTGGCCACAGACCGCAGCCTGGCACTCTTCGGCTGTGTTCAACACCAGCCCCATGCCTACCCAGCCACCTACCACCCTGACCACTGGTGGCCCCTTAGGAACAAGAACTACGTGACCCGCGCCTATTTTGATGCCGCCAAGGTGTACTACATCAACTAGAATGGGCCAGATGTTGCTGGACCTGGCCTTCCTGGGCCAGGGGCCAGTGCAGCCAGTGGCCCAGAGCCCAGACGCAGGAGGAGTGTCAAAGAGCCAGACCAAAGAAATCCTTTCAGTGGAATGCCATGGGCCAGTTCCCTCCAGATTCAGTGTCCAGTGTCTCAGAGGATAGATGTGTCCAAGGAAGGACATGCAGTTTTTGACTATTTCCCTCCCCTGACCTTTCCCCTTTCTAAATAAAGCAGGTTGGAGTTTTTCTCATGTCACCTGCAAGCCAGCTGATGTGATTTCTTGCTTAGGAGTTGTAGCGGGGTGGGGCAGGGGGGTGGTGAGCTTGTCCCAGGGAATACAGCAGGCACATTCCCTGGGCTGTTCCAGGGATGACTTCAGGCCACCTCCAGCCTCTTGTCCGGAGACCCCAGTGCCCACAGGGAAACAGTGTGGGAACCCCTGTGGCCTCCTCTGTGAAGTGAGGAGGCTGCAGTGCAGTGATGAGGTCTCAGCTCACTGCAACCTCCGCCTCTCGGGTTCAAGCAATTCTCCTGCCTCAGCCTCCCAAGTAGCTTGGACTACAAGCTCATGCCACCATGCCTGGTTAATTTTTTATTTTTAGTAGAGATGGGGTTTCACCATGTTGTCCAGGCTGATCTCGAACGCCTGACCTCAAGTGATCAGTCTGCCTCAGCCTCCCAAAGTGCTGGGATTACAGGTGTGAGCCACCACGCCTGGCCTGCTTGGTGAGTGTTAATCTGCGTTCCTGCAGGCTTCATCTGGCCCCATGGTCAGGAGGCCTTTCCTACCACTGCATGGGAGGTAGTATTGTGATAACCTGCTTTTTGCCAGCTAAAATTAACTCTCTCTCAGACTAAAAGCTGTTCAGGCTTCATGTTAGCTTCTTAAGCCAAACAGACTCCATCTTAGCTTCTTCATTATAGTTATTTCCCCACCATTAATTATGTAACTGTAGTATGTACCTGGGGCAGGCTGACACTGGGCACCTTCAGGAATGCATTTGTTAATAAGAGGCTGAGTTAAGTGGTACCAGCAGAGCCTGGGAATGCAGGTGCTGTCGAGCCCCAGAGCCCCCATTATCTATAAGTTGTATGTCTTTTATGACAGCTTTACCCCTTGCACCTGGCACTGGTTTATTTCTCACGTACTAGTTTATCTTTTAACTTTTTGCTTACTCTGCTTTTGTGAAAAATTTACTTCAGCTAGGTTCCCCCTCCCCTTTAAAACTAAGGTATAAAAGACCACCTAACTTTTCTCAGGGGCCGAGAGAATTTTGGGCATTAGCCATCTCACAGTCACCGGCATAATAAAGGACTCATAACTCAATCTCAGAGTGTGGCGCATTCCTGAACTCACTCAGGTACAACAGCCTCTGTGGGTACTGTGGGCTTGCTGGAGCCGGTACAGGGGCAGAGTGAAGCAGGCAGCTGGGGCAGTGGTTGGGCTTTTTATCTGTTGACGAAAAGAGTCAAACTGTGTAAAGTATTTGAAGAGATTTATTCGGAGTCCAATATGAGTGACTATGGTGACACAGCTCTCAGGAGGTCCTGAGAACATGTGCCCCACGGTGGTTGGCGTGCAGCTTGGTTTTGTACATTTTAGGGAGGTATGTGTGTCGGGGGCCTGGTCCAGGCTATAGGTAGATTTGACAATTGGTTGAGTTTGTCTAAGGACCTGGGATCAACAGAAAGGAATGCCTGGGTTCAGATAAGGGGTTGTGGAGAGCAAGGTCCTTATTTATGCAGAGGAAGCCTCCAGGTAGCAGGCTTCAAAGAGACCAGATTGTTTCTTATCAGACCTGAAAAGGTGCCATACTCTTAGTTGAGTCTCTCCTGGGTCAGGGAAAAGACCTGGAAAGGGAGGGGGATTCACTGCAGAATGTAGATTGACCCCACGAGAGACAGCTTTACAGGGCTATGTGAGAATATGTCAAAGAAATGCATTTTGGGGTGAAGTACTTCTGTTTCAGGGCCTGCTGTCTGTCCTGTAATGCTATGCTAGAGTCAGGTTGGAGTTTGGTGTCTTCTGGCTATAAAGTCTGTTTAGTCAGTCTTGAGATCTCTTGTAATGTTAATGCTCGTCAGCTGTGCCTGAATTCCACAGGGAGAAGGGCATAATGAGCCAAGTTCGACCCCCCCATTCCCATTATCGCCTGGTCCCAGACTCCCTGAGGAGCCACCCTCAGCCCTGCTCTACTGAGGCCCCTGGGTGCATCCCTCTGCCTGCCCGTCCTTCCCCCGAAGGCCTTGTGGGTGGTTTCTGAGCCGCAGCCTCAAAGCTCCTCGGCCAGATGAGCCTTTGTGCTCCCCTCTCAGGTCACCTCCGATGCCAGCTGTGCCCAGGCCCTCCTACCCTTCCTCCCCACCTCCGTCCCAGTGCTCCTGCTCCCGCCCTCCGCAGTGCAGCTCCGTCCACTTCAGCAATTCTGTGGAGAGTGTCCTTCTGTGTCTCTACCATGACTCCTCAAAGTCAGGGACTGTCAGGAACCATTTCCAGGTCCCCAGGGGATGGCACAGGGTGAGGCTTAGTGCAGGGGTTCCATCAAGCTGTTGACTCAAACTGAACTTGCTAGAAACGGTGGGTACAGGTGCTCAGCCCCCACAGGCATGGCCCTGACTGCTCCTATGGGGCAAGACGGAGACGCCTGCAGCAGGGGTATTACTCCAGGAAGGCACCCCTTGATTTGGGGGTGTTTCCCCTGAAATGGAAACGATGGGCCTGGAATCCCCCAGAGAAGCCAATTCTTACAACAAGCAGCTCTGGGCCTTCTCCAGTGGAGTGGGTTTTCCTTACAGCGGGCAGGCGGGACTGGGGCTGGGAAAGAGCTGAGAGTACAGTGAGGCTTAGAAAATAACAGGGACAGCCGGATGCGGTAGCTCATGCCTGAAATCCCAGCACTTTCGGAGGTTGAAGCAGGTAAATCACAAGGTCATGAGTTCACGACCAGCCTAGCCAACAAGGTGAAGCCCTGTCTCTACTAAAAATACAAAAATTAGCTTGGTGTGGTGGTGTGCACCTGTAATCCCAGCTGCTTGGGAGGCTAAAGAAGAAGAATTGCTTGAATCCAGGAAGTGGAGGTTGTAGTGAGCCAAGATCACTCCACTGCACCCCAGCCTGGGTGACAGAGTGAGATTCTGTCTCCAAAAAAAAAAAAAAGAATAGGGACAATTATGTCTCTCATGACTCATTTTTGGTTTTTTTTTTTTTGAGACAGAGTCTTGCTTTGTTGCCCAGGCTGGGGTAGAGTGTCACTACCTAAGCTCACTGTGATCTTTGCCTCCTGAGTAGTTACCAGCCATTTCCTGGTAGCTCAGGCCCTTGGTGCCCCTGCTGGCTTAAACCTCTAGCAGTTTAAAAGCAATTCAGCGCTTTGAAAACAAAAGGCAATTAACAGCAACATGCAAGCGACTGGATTCAGTAACAACACAGTCTGTTTCTGGACCACAGAAGCGGCACAGAATCAGAAACATTTTATTTTGAGGTTTGCGTGGGCTCCTGTAGTGCTGCAAACAGATTTCTTTTAATTGCAGGCGACACCTAAGGAAACAGAATTGACATTATCATCATCACCACTTCTTATCAGTTGTCAAAGATGACTGTGGGCTTCGTGCTGTGTGGACCCACGACTGCTTCTCACCTAAGCCCCAGAACCACCTATCAGGCCAGGATAACCGGACATGAGCCATGGCGAGAAAGTCAGCCTGATGCACAGCCAGGTCTGAGTGTTCGAAGATGCTCTAATCTATGCTGCTTGAGAAGTCTAATAAATTTCTCTTGAGAAGCCACCATTGCCTCTGGCCCTGGCCCCACCTTTTCTCATCAGTAACCTCATCACCTCACCAAATGGAGCCATTCAGAGGGCAGACAAGAGTCAGACAGCTCCTCCCAATGAAGGCTTTGCTTTCACTCTAAAATGGACCATGATGGGTAGATGAGTGAGTCAGGGGAGGGTCTTGGCACAGCTCGTAATCCTCTCGGGGATGGATTTCTCTGCAGGGCACAGGGAGCTAGTGAGCTGGAGAGTAGGGGTCGAGCCACAGAAGGGGCAGCATCAGCTGCTTCTGCCAACCTCAGGCTGGCCACCTTTCTCACTGGCCTGGCTAATTCTTCACACCTGCCGACACCAGAGAGAGAAGTAGTGGGTTGTGGGAGGTAGAGGCAGAGACGGGAGGGAAAAAACCGGCCCCTGAAATGGCTCTCGCAGTCTGGATCTGGAAAGCACAGATGGCGCTTTCTGCCAAAATGCCACTCAGCAGGTTTGAAATGTCACGCAGGTGCATCTCCACATCAGCCATGTGTCTGAGCCTGTGGCGCTGGTCAGAGGCAGCTCAGCCCAATGGCAGGCACTGGAGCTGTCACGTTCACACTCATCCCCGGTGCCTGTCACCTCACTGGCACAAAGCTGGCAGTCAATAACAATTTTCTCAATGACTGAAGGAAGGAACATGTGGAAAGGCCCTCGATGATTCTCTGGCTCAGGGAATTAGAGGTTAAGTTGTCTGACTGCCAGCCCAATGTTCCTTCCATCATGGGGGCAGCTTCTCTCCACGTAAACCCCAAAGGGTCCCCGTACCCACCCGCCTGTGTCCCAGGGCTCAGGTGGGGCCCCAGCCCATGAGGCCTGCTTTCCTCTCACCTCATCCCAGCGCTGGGTCTCCACATGCAACTGCACCAGGGACTTGAGGTCACCCATCTTCAGGTAGGTCTCGGCAGCATAGTCGGGGCTGTCCAGCTTCTTGAGGTAGGTAGCGCACAGCAGCAGCGGCTCATGCTCAGCCTTGTCCAGCTTGCGGGCGATGTCGATCAACCTGGAGAGGGAAGGGGCAGGTAGGAGAGGGACCCCTGTGAAGAAGCCTGACGGAAGGAAGTGGCTGGGGGGCTCTGGGTCTTGTCAAGGGCAGGCCGTACCTCCATTCATTCTGCAATCTCCAGTGTTGAGACCCTGCCGTGGCCCCTGGGAGCTGCTCAGGGGGTGGTTATTAAAGGAGTGAATACTCACTCCAAAAACATCACCAGCAACCAGGAGGGATGGCCTCTACATGATACTATCAGCTACCTCATGTGTCTTTCTTGGAAGTCACTGAGCTATGCAGCCGGGTGTAGAAACAAATATGTCCTAATCCCTAATCAAGTACCCAAGATGGTGCCATGAGCTTTCCCAGGCGTGAAATCAGAATCTTCACCACCCTAACAGGTGGGCATGTTTACTTCCATTTCTTTCCATCTTACAGATGAGAAGACTAAAGTCTGGGGGGAAAGTGAAGCACCCAGCCCGACTCAGCAGCCAGGAAGTGGCCCAGCGCTCTTCCTACCACTGGTACAGGAATTCTTACAGCAAAGTGGAGGCCAAGGCGTGAGAATTCCTCAATGAGTGTCCTCTAAAGGAAGAGGCATGTGTGGGGTCTGCTTTGAGCTCTAAATACAGAGAGTCTCTGTGTCTCCCAAAGAACCCAGTCACTCTCACATTTGCTTTAAATATTTAAAGAAGCATAATTTGTTCCCTTGTCAGTCAAACACAAGAAGTGGCATGTGATGACATTCTGCCAAATGCTGGGGGCAGGGACCAAAACCTACGTGTCAACCCATCCATGGTGGCCACAGATCTCGATAGCCTTGACATGCTCTCCAGCTGAGATGTACATCTCCACGGCGGCTTTGGGCTCCTTGATATTCCTGGCCCAGTCAGCCTGTTTGGTGATTAGCATCTTTATTTCTTTGGGGTCTCCAGATCCAAGGAAATCCTGAGGAAGCACAACAAACAAAAACACTCTGGATCAGGACTTCCCGTGCCAGCATTACATCAGGCTCTCCTAGCAGCAAGGGCGGGCTCCACGTGGCTGAAGCAGGCAACCAGGAGGCAGGTGGGGCCGTCCCTGAGAGGCTGAGTAGGGGGTGTCCCAAGTCTTGAAAAGAGCCATCTTGGGCTGCCCTGCTGGTATTCTGGGGGATCCTGGGACAGCGTCAAGGACACTGGCCCCCAGTGCTTCCTTCCCTTCTCACGAATGGGTGTTTGCTCTTTGGCTAAACAATACTTTCTGGACTGTTTGGGGTACTGCACATGAAGTCTGCAGGGGCAGGGGTTCACGGTCAGTCTATCTCTCTCTCACATATAGTTTGGTAGATACATGACTATTCCTAAACAGCAACGAGAAAACCTGGTGCACAATTCCAAATATCGAGACCTATCATCTTTATTCAGATCATATGGGTGACACCACATGCTTCAGAGTGGGGCTGAGCATGGGTTCCCCTAAACTTACACAAATTAACTGACTTACAGCATTTGCAGGCCCTCCGTGCCCTCCCTGAATCACCAGCTCACTAGGAATGCCATTCACAGCTGTTTCCTGAAATGTTCTGTGCCCTGAACTAGGGAATCATCACATTGTCTTTGCCCTAGGCACTTGCCTGAAACAGATAACAAGCAAACCTCTCTCTGGGCAATTGCTTCTCGCCTGAATGGTAAGGGATCCTGTCCTGAGGTCAGGTCAGCAGGGGTGAGGGCCTGATCTGATAATGGGAGGGCAGGAGGCCATGGGGGGATTGAGACGGGGAAGGGGCTCAGGAGAGGACCTGAGAAGAAAGAGAGGGCTGGGGTCCTGGAGGCTCAGGGGTCAGGCCCAGAGCCTGCACTCCCTCGGCCACAGCAGGGGCCCTCTGGGCTGGCCCTAGAGAGTGTGAGAAACAACCTCAGATCATCACCGCTTTTCAGGGTAGTTACCCAAAATGCACACATGGGAGTTTGCCAGAGTTCAGGCAGCTTTTCAGGTGGAGCTTTTCAAAAAGGGAAACTGGGAGCACTTACAGCCCAGGTCTACATTACTGGTAAGAAGGGGTTTGTCTCAGGAATAATGTACCCTGCAGAGTGCTTTGTGTCAGCCTTACCTAGAATTTTAAAAAGCACTCCTTTCCCCATGATTACGCTCACGTGTCAGGAAAGTACAGTCAACTTAGGCTAAAAACACTTGAACAATTAGCTTGCTTTTTTCCCTCATTTGCTTTCAGGGTAACTGTGTAGCTCCTGAGATCATGTATTAGGTCAGCCTAATATATGATATGTTTTAAGAAGGGGAGGAAAGGGCATTGTATGCCCTGATGCTGGGGACCAATAGAAGACAGGCCCCCTGGCTGGCCTCTGGTTCTCCTGGAGCTGACAAAGAGAATGAGCTTGGAAAGCAGCCACTGACCACGCCTAGTTTGGGCCTTTACAGACACACCTTTCCTCTTGGCAGCTGCTACGACGCAGATTCTCTATGCCAACATGAAGCTGGAAACCCTGCCTACCTGGCTGGTGAAATGAGGGTGGCAGTTGGGGGAAACAAGCATCTTAGGAGACTAGAAATGTCCTCCAAAGGGACTTAAGTGAGTGCTGAGGGGACTAGGGGTGACTGTGTTAAGAAGGGTTAGAGGCTGAGAGGGAGCCATGAGCTTGGGTTGTCACCCCGAGACCATCCAGGCACAGAGCTCACAGCCTGGGGAAGCCTTCTGCAGTCCAGCAGGATGCTCAGGGAGCGGAGACTTCATTGAAGCTGCATTTAAAAGCTTCCTTCGAGGCTCAGCAAAGTGGGTTTTCAAAGACTTTTTGATCCCTGAAGCTAACTTACCCGTTATCTGGGGCAATGGCAAAGACTTGGCCCTGAAGTGGACAGAAAGAGACTGTGCTGAGTGATGAATGAGACTAAACAGTGTTCTCATGCTTGGTGATTTTGATAAGAGCATACTACATAAGAGTTAAGAGCATTATAATTCCCTTTATCACCATATAAACATGTCACTTATCCGGAAAGCATACAATTTATTTGTACGTGGGACTGTAATTTAAAAATTATCTGAAAACCAGATTGAATCCTGGGAAGCAATTTTCAAGTAAACAAAAACATGCCATGTTAATCAGCACTGGATCTCCCCCACCCCCCACATAATGTGTATGTACACATTTCTCAAATTCAGACTGTACCACAGCTATCTCCATGAGGAAACTTCAGGGGTCCCTGAGCCTAAATTCTGCCTCCAGGGCTTTGATCCCTTAAGCGTTCATCCTGAGTTAAAATTTTGTTATTCCCAGAAGCAGAGATGCACGGCCTCAGGTGATCTCAGTATGAATGTGTTATGAAATCTTCTAGGTGTCTGTGGTGGGGTCTGGGAGAGTGCAGAAAAGGTGACGGAGAAACAGCAGAGGGTGCCTGAACTCCCTGGGTCTCAGGTACCAAGTGAAGAAATCACTAAGGTGAAAAGACAGGCTGGGGCCCAGGAGCTTGTCCAGCTGCTGATGACAGTAAGTCCCGGGCAACATCACCTTAAGCCCCAGGATCAAACAGATAGTGGAAGAGCACAGCCATCTGCAGGAATAGAAAAGCAGACAAAAGTGGGGAAGACTTCCATCCTAAACTTGTGAGCTGGAGAATTACCATTAATAGCCACTAATCGGTTGTGGCTGATGAGTCACTTCATCGCATACTGAGAGCCACTTCTGACACTCCCAGAAAAGGCAGGTTAACAAAGCCCCTCTGTGGAAGGAAGAACCTCAGTGCTCAATGCACCCAAGCCTCTTTGAACCTTGCTTAGACTGAACTGCAAATGTCTTGACTGGACTGGGCTCCTTAGTGCAACTCGTTCCCACAGAAGCCATCAGGAGCCTGCTCTGGGACGCTCCTCTCCTACACCTGCCTTCAAAGGCGCAGCTCTGCTGGAGACTAGGGTTCATGGGGGCTATCCCAATGCAAAAGGGAATCTCTGCCATCACCCACTGCAACCACGTGATAGCCACTCTGCAGCTGCCAGGTGTGAGGGATGCAGGGCTAACACGGGAGGGTGGAGGCTCTGCCTGACTTTGCAGAAGCCCAGTGCAAAGCCCTGGACAATTGGCAGGCACTTAGGGAACCTTGGCTGGCGTGCACCATATTGTCCCGTATGATTGGCAGGACCGCCTCCCACCTGAAGACACCGATTCTTAGTGGCTCCTGACAAGGATTGAGAGGATTTGTGGGAGACTGCCCTGAAACCCTGAGCCCTCGATTCAATGAAGGGATCGTGCTGGTGCAGACCCACAGCCATCCATCTCTGTTGCGGACGAACGTCTCAACCATCATACTCTGCCGCTTTGGTGTCAGCTCTAAAGGTCAGTTTTAGGTGAGTTTCAACCAGTGGCTGTAGAGGGGTGCTTTGTTTACCCTTTTCCCCACATCCTTCCTGAGGCCATTGCTAGTTTTCTTCTGCACCACTCTTGGGGGAAACAACCTGGACACTGCAGGTGGGAACACCAGTGGGCTCCAAGCCAGAGCTTGGGCCTGGGATGGGGTGGATTACCTTGACATACTCAAACATGCGGAGGTCGGTGTACATTTCAAGTGCGAGGTTCTCGTGCCCGCTCCTCTTGTACAGTTTGGCGGCCTCATGGAACTTCCCCTGGTAGGAAAACACATCTGCCAGAAACAGGTCCTTGTTGGTCTCTCCCTGCTTCTTCCTCTCCTGGAAAAATTAGAAGCACAGGAAATGGCCTCTGCAGCCATGGGCAGGAAGCAGCCTTTACAAAGGTTAGATGTGGCTATTTCAAGTGAGCCCCTTGGGCCTTCCTACTGGAACCTGGGCTTGCTCCTGGCTGTTGCGTCTCTCCCTAGGTTTCCGCTGGGAACGCCTGACAACAGAAGCAGGATTTTACCAGACAAGCAAAGATCAAAAAAAGATGCAAACCTTTGTTTAATGGAAGTTGCTCAGGGTTGCTTTCCTGTATATTCCAAGGCTAAGACAGAATACCTCGTAGACTCATCCAAGACCCCCGAGGACCTCCCAAATCCACAGGCCTGGTTTGCCTGAGTTGTGGCTCATGAGGATGACAGAGCAGGAGAATGTTTAGGGTTTTGCCCAGGAGGGAGACCAAGAAAATATGATGTCAAGTCTTCCTGTGTCCCTACTTCTAAAGAGAAGGTAAGAAATCCCACACGCTGACATCCACTAGGTTCTGGGTATATACCTTATACACACATGGCCCCTTTATTCCTCTCAGTGACCCTCAGGATAGGTCTCACTACCCAAGTATTAGAGTGAAGGACGTTGAGATTCAGGAGGAGGAACAGGTCGGGGTCAGACAGAGCTGGCATTAGGACACAGTTCTGTCTGACTCCAGATATTCCTTGTATCACACAACACTGTCTTCTGAAGCAAGTGATGTCCCCAACAACACACACACACACACACACACACAACTTAGCAGAGTTGAGGATATAGAGGAGTATCCTGCACACTTCTTCCTTCTGTGTCAGGGAACATTCACTCATCTGTAGCTCGAGTATTTGGAAACAGTCATTAGCACCCAAGCTCTGAGCCCCAGCAGTTTCCCTTTGCTTGTTTTCTAGCAAGAGTAGCATATCAGAGGATGATGAGACATTGAATCAAGCTCTTAGACAAGCTGGTGAAAGTTTTAACAGCTGGAGGCAACATACTTCCACATTGACAGAAATCATCTTTCTAAAAACCTGCACGCAGCTCAGGCTCATCAGACAGACTAGCTCCTAGTAGTTGGAAATGATTTAAAATCTTGCAGTCAGATAAAATATTTTGGAGGGACGTGATGACTGATGCCTGTGATCCCTACACTTTGGGAGGCTGTGGCAAGAGAATCACCTGAGCCCAGGAGTTCAAAACCAGCTTGGTCAATATAGCAAAACTATCCCTGCAAAAAAAAACAAACAAACCAAACCAAACAAAAAAAGTTTTACCAGGCATGAAAATGAGTCCAGGATGTCACCACGATGAATAGAAATGATCTATGGTGCTCGGCAGGTACATGTCACCATGGGCAAGTTCTTTCCCCTGTCAGCAGGACAGGGACATCTCCCCTATCCAGAAGGCACCCCCTGAGGATCCACAGTACTCTGCAATTATGCTGAGCACCCAGAAGTGTGCAACTGAGGTCCCACACCGTCAGCATGGAGCTCACTTGAAGGCACTTCATTTTTTTTTTATTTATTTATTTATTTTTTTTTTTTTTGAGACGGAGTTTCGCTCTTGTTACCCAGGCTGGAGTGCAATGGCACGATCTCGGCTCACCGCAACCTCCGCCTCCTGGGTTCAGGCAATTCTACCTCAGCCTCCTGAGTAGCTGGGATTACAGGCACGCGCCACCACGCCCAGCTAATTTTTTTTTTGTATTTTTAGTAGAGACGGGGTTTCACCATGTTGACCAGGATGGTCTCGATCTCTTGACCTCGTGATCCACCCGCCTCGGCCTCCCAAAGTGCTGGGATTACAGGCTTGAGCCACCGCGCCCGGCCGGCACTTCATTTTTTTAGGAGACAATCAGGAGTTTAACCTACTTCCCAGCTCATGGCACATGAGGAGCGGCAGACATTAGTCACTTGCTAAGTGACTAATAATAGTTAGACCCCACAGCAACCAGTTACTTTTGTAGAGAGGAAAATTATCCTCTTGGCTTCAGGTGAAGACACCCGGATCCAGGCCAGTTGATTTACAAGTGAGAGTCAGCAGCACTGGGCATTTCAGGCAATGGCTCCGAACAAGCCCTTTACCATGCAAGTAGGTAAACCCAGAACATACAGATGCCCCTCTTGACTCGCAGGTGGGGAGGGTATGTGGCTGACAGAACATGAGCTCAGAAAACAGCCTGGGCTGGAATTCCACTGAGCTTTTGGCTGTGGACCCGTGGGAACGTGGCATAGCCTCACCGAGCCTTAGCTTCCTCCTGCATGGAATAGGGAGAGCAACAGGACCTGCCTCATCCAGTTAACCTGAGGATCTACAACAGCACCCGCATGGGTCACGCATGGGACACACAGCAGACTCGACACAGGGCAGCTGATAAGGCGCAGCAGGCTGTGAGCTCCTGCAGGTATCTCTCTCCTCAGCTCTGTGCCCACTGAGCTCAGCACAAGGGTTGGCCCATGACAGGTGTTTATTATGCACAACTGAATGAGAGGGACAAGACATTTGCTGATTTCCTCACTGTTTGCAACCGGGAATTCAACTGTATCTCACATTCCCATACCCTCCAATAAATCTGTGCAGGAGAAAAAAATGTGTATACCTTTTTACACACAGCAAGACAGCATTAAGATATACAGAAATTACAGTGTCCAAGGGCTGGGTGTGGTAGCTCAGGTCTGTAATGCTAACACTTTGGGAGGCTAAGGTGGGCTAACAGCTTGAGCCGAGGAATTTGCAGCCAGCCTGGGCAACATGGCAAAACCGTGACTGTGCAAAAAATACAGAAAATTAATCAGGCAGATGGCCCATGCATGTGATCCCAGCTACTTGGGAGGCTGAAGTGGGAGGATCATTTGAGTCTGGGAGGTCTAGGCTGCAGTAAGCCATGACCGTGCTGCTGTACTCCAGCCTGGGGAACAGAGTGAGACCCTGTTTCAAAAAAACAAAGCATAGTGTCTCCCACCACCCAGCAAATGGTGAACCTACAACCAGCTTCCTTACCCACTGTAGGCCTGTTGGGTTGGGATGACAAGGCCAGTATTCTCAGCCAGGAACAGCAAGGCTAGGGGTTGCTCCAGAGCTCGGGGCGCTCAGTGCAGACCGTGGGCCTCACTCCCCAAGTCCATTTCTGGGAGTGGAGCTCACCTCATGTGCATTTAGGAAACTCCTGCAACACTAGCAGATTACTGGAGTCTGGGAGGATGGTGACTAGCTATCTGCCACCATGAGGATGCACACCAGCTCCAGAGGACCTACTGAATCCTCATGGAAGCCTGCGAGGTAGGTCCCATGCCATCCTTTTCACAGATAAGAAACCCAAGCCTGGAGAGATCTGGAACTCATGTGCCTCACCCAGCTGCCACGCGACAACTCACACTGCCCGCTGCTATTTCCCCTGTGAGGCCACTCTGTCCCCGCAGCAAGGCTATGGCCCAGATGCCAGTGAGATCTGCTCCATATTCTCAGGGCTCTTGCCTGCTACAAGGGATCCCCCTAAAACATGAACCCCAAGTATGCCTTCTTTGGAAGGAAGAATGCTTCATCTTTTACCTCAATGCTGCTGATGAGCTCTAAGTATCGGAGGTCTCGTACTCTGATGAAGGCCTGTGGAGAAGAAAGAAAGAATCAAATCAGCTGCCTTCTTGGCTTCAAAACTGGGTGACTGGCTGCGGGTGGGAAGTCAAGCTCTATCTAGACAGTGAGCCAGTAAGGAGAGGAGAGAGCAAGCATGGATTAAGCATCATGGCAGGGGTTATACCACCCAGTGAGGCGCAGCTTTATCCCTGGGACGGGACCCTGCAAAGAACAGCAAAGACAACCCAGCTGCATCAGTCATTTTGGGATCAGGTAAAACAAAACCATGAAGCACAATCTGTGGCGGTGCCTCGTTGGGAGACTCTTGACCCAAAGAAGAACAAGCTGGTCGCACCCTCTGGGTTTGGGGTGCAGGCAGCATCAGAGCAGAAGCGGGTGAGATGCAGACTGATGAGACTGCCTGCACATCTTGGCAACATGGGTAGAATGCAGGGGCCAGCCATGCCTACCCAGTGGCGCCACAGACACAGGGGACCCAGAGCCCCTGGTAATCCAGAGGGAGCAGAGGAGGGGAAAGCTTAGAGGGCACAAAGACAGATTCTGGAAGAAGGTGGAGGGGAAAGGAATGAAGGCCAACAAGTCCATGGAAGGCAAACTCTTATGTAAATACTCAAATTGCAGCCCTGGCCTGGAACTCACAGTAAAGCCACAGACTTTAACTCATGGACTTCTAGAAGTTTCTGAGGAACAGGCAGACCGCTGTTAGCTAAGGTAGTTTTGTGGCTTTCAGATTCTGCCCAGGATTTGGAGGAGCACAAGCCATCAGGTCTGGCCATTTTCAGGTGGCTTTGTTGTCACCATTTCTACCAGCTGTGCTTCTTTACACTGCCCCATTCAAAACGGGCTGACCTGTGCCTGGAGGAGGCAGTGGCTCTGGAGCCCTATGAATCAAATGTGCAGAGCAACCCTCAGCTGCACGGCATCCTCCCTCCTGAAAAGACCTCGGGAGATGAGTGAGGCCCCAGCCTCTGGCTATCTCGTGGGTTGCCGAAATGCGACTTCTTTTCATCCCATAGGCCCGGCTTCCTGTCAGAGGCTGAGGACCCAAGGAGAAACATGTCTTGGACCCTGTCCCACTCCACACTTCGGAGCCCCACATTCTAACAGGGGAGGCTGGCCAATTCAACAGATCATGACACCTCCTCCACCTAAGAACTCTCGAGTATGAAGCAGATGCCTGGAGAACACGGATGAGACATCTGAGCATGGGCAGGGGCGGAAGGCAGCGTCAAGTGAGGCATCAGAGTTGGAACCTGGCAAACAAGTGTTTGTGAAGAGAAATCCATAAAAAAGGGCAATGTTGGCATCACATGGGCCAAAGGACAGAGGGCTAAGACTGCCTGGGTCCCAAGCTGCAGGTTTTACACACCACCCTCTAGCTCTGGGTTTCCTTAAAGCACCTTGAGAGGGCAACCCGCAAAGCCCAGCACAGTGACCAAGAGGGAAAGGAGCGTTCAAGGTCTCAGTCCTTGCTCTGAGCCTACTTCCTCCCTGCCTCTGGGCTCCAGCCACCTTCTTTGTGGAAAGGGGCCTGCTGGTGACACCCTCTCATGGGTCTTTCTAACTATAGCTCAGCTGTGCTGGAGTCTAGGATTTGCCCACTAAGAAATCTGTTTCTGAATTCTTTCAACACTGACACATCCTGCAGCGTCAGGGTGCTTGGTCAGAGTCACAAGGCCCCTGAATGGGATCAGCAGAGGGAAGCCTGGGAACAGGGAGGCACCTGAAGCTCTGCTCAGGGCCTGGCAGGAGCTCAGCAGCTCTTCTCTGCCATCTAGTGGCGATGGCAGTCCATCACTGGGAACCACCCTGTGCAAGCTGGTGAGCCTGAGTGCCTGGCACAGAGGAAAGAAAGGTGGGGAATTCGGGATTTAGATGAAATAGCAACTCATAGCCTGTCTTCAACATCATGAGGCTTTTTCAAAGCATCATGTTGTACTTAATTTTTTTTTTTGTTTTGAGAAAGAGTCCTGCTGTGTCACCCAGACTAGAGTGCAGTGGCATGATCTTGGATCACTATAGCCTCTGCCTCTCCGGTGCAAGCAGTTCTCCTGCTTCAGCCTCCCAAGTAGCTGGGACTATAGGCATGGGCCACCACACCTGGCTAATTTTTGTATTTTTTTTTTTTTTTTTGAAGAGTTGGGGTTTCGCCGTGTTTGCCAGGCTGTTCTTGAACTCCTGACCTCAGGTGATCTGCTTACCTCAGCCTCACATAATACTGGTATTACAGGAATGAGCAACCATGCCTGGCCCATGTTGTACTTAATAGATACTTACTGTATACAATTACTTTTCAATTAAAATAAATCAATGAACATTGTTATTTTAAACATCTTGTGGCTTTATTACACCCCTTTCTATTCTCAGGGAGTATTTTGGGGATACAGGCTGGGGAGTGAAATAAATGGAGGATCACCCCACTTAGTTGTCATCGATTCAAACATTTGTTCAGTACCAAGCTGTCTAAGGCACTGTGCTAGGCAGTGTGCGGTGTTACTAAGATAAGGTACTTGTTTGGTTCCTGGGTGTAAGGAGGGGACAGTCTAGTGGGAAAACTTTTCGTTTTATTCTGTGCCCAAAGCAAACAAGCAACACTGTTTTGTCTTCTTCCTACTCCTTGCTGGCACTTCTGGGTGGGGCAGGAGAGGAAAGCTCCCTCCATGGAGATGCCTCCTCCCTCCTCTCAAGTCTTACAGCCTCCTCCATCTCCACTTGACTACACTGAGGACATCTGAAAATATAATCTAGATCATTGTTACACAACGATCACTTCCCTTGTTTAGTAATGGCTAGCATCTGTACAACCATCCCTGCTTTAAATTATCCTTTACAATGTCTCAGAGAAGCCTCAGGACTGCAGCAGGCATTCTCACCACACCCATTTCACAACTGGGAGGACTGGAGCTCCGAGGGAAGCAGCTGCCTGAGGTCCCAGAGCCCCTTAGCGGCACAGCTGGTTCTCAGCCAGGCTTCTGAGTCCTGGTCTGGTCCAGTCTCCTCTCTCTTCATGCCTGCAAGTCTTGACCTATCCCGAGGCAGGCATCACATCCCTCTTTGCCGCCCCTTCAATATCAGCCCAGTAGTATGGACAAAATGAGCAGCTCGTTAATTGACTGTGGGGAGATAAAGAGGGAAGGGGTAGGGGAGAGGGGGGTGGAAGCCATTCCTTCCTCCATCTCAGATTCTAGATGGAAACACAGCTCAGGAACATACCTGGGCTTTTCCTCATGTGCAGAAAGGGGTCAGATGTTTTCAGTCATCTCTCTAGTTTTCCTGGACTAGGCCAGGAAAGGACATAACGAATCAAGTCCATGAATCCCACCATGAAGGTATGTGGGAAGTGCCCACACTGCTGTCAGAATCAGAGACCTTGACCATCTCTCCCACCTTAGTTGGCAGATGCTAAGGAAAGCAGCATTGTGTAATACATGGCCAGTGATTACACCGATAATAAAAGCCACCATTTACGGAGTGTCTCTGATGTGCCAGGCTACTAGCCAGGTGCTTCCCATAGATAACAGCTAATAAGAGTGACAGCCAGAATCTATGAGATGCTGCTCCTGAGTCAGGCTTTACAGGCATCTTCCCATTCGATCCTCACACCTTTGTGAGGATGGGGCCTATCATCTCCCTACGTCTACAGAGAAACAGTCTTAGAAAAGGTGTCATCTGCCCAGGCCCACAGTGAGGAGGTGGCTGAGCTGAGATCCAAGCCCAGGTCAGCCTCACTCCAGAGGCTGCTGCAGTCTATGGCCTCTCCATGCCACTTGGATCCCCGTCTGCCTTCTTAAGGGACCCTTCAAGGACCAGACTCCAGCTCCTGCTGACTAGATGCTTACCTTCTTTGCTGTTTCAAAATCTAAACCTTCTAGTGCTTCCATGGCCAGCTCGTGCCAATCAGTGTCTGTCACTCCCAAGCAAGCAATCTGGTAGGCTTCCTTGAACATTTTCCTATCCAGGTACTGGTACATGGGAGCAGACTGCAGGATTTCATCAAGGGAAAGAAAGAAGACTGTTTTCAGAGCCATGGAAAGAGCCAGATTCATAGAGATCCCTCCTGTATCTAGATGTGTGTGACAATTACCCACGTAATGACCCGTGCCTGCGGAGCAGCCCTGTAGCTGTCAATCAGTATCCTGCCCAGCCTGCCCAGCCCACCCTCTGTGCTCCGTCCTGCACCTCTCTCATGGCCAGGCCACTGTGCGCCACAGCACAAGCTCTCTGCCCGTCTTCTCCTCCTTCCCACCTGTGGGCCTGCCCATCACAGGATGTCAGTCTCACCCCCTGCCCACTATCCCTCTGGAAAATAACATATTTGACTTTCAAGGCCCTGTGGAAATGTCACCTCTTCTGGAGAGTCCTCCTGGGCCCCTCGAGCCCCAACCCAGGGGAAGGAGTCTCAGCTTCCTCTGCCCTTTGTCCAGATCTCAGGTTGTGCTGCAGTTACAGGCCTGTGCCCACAGCCAGGCCCTGCACAGCCCATGAGCAGTGGTGGGTTGTACCAGCCTCCCTCAGCAGGCCCCCAGTCTATGTTTGCTGACAGAATGAATCATTTCCTGGGAGGAAAGGTCTGAGATAGCCTCTTCTTCTGGGGCCTGATTCCAAGAAAGTAAGTGATTTGCTGAGTTAGCCTGGAAGCCTCTGGAAACAAGTCTCCTGCTCCCTGTACTGGGACCAACGTCCTCCTAGGAGATAGGGTTGCCTTGCTGTGAATGTCGTGAACAGTTCCTAATGACTTCTCTTTCTTAGGTTTATAAAGGTCTGGGCCGTCCCCACAGCCCTGTGCAGTAGGTATTATTTCTCCCTGACTACAGCCCAGGAGACCGAGACTCAGATAGGACAACTGACCTGTCCCATGACACAGCTGGCAAATGCAGAACCTCAGGCTGGAGCCAGAGGTGACTGGACTCCAGGTTCTGTGCTCCTTCCTGCCACGTGTGTGTGTGTGTGTGTGTGTGTGCACATGTGTGTACATGTTACTGGTGAGGGTCTTGACTACAAGTCATCAGGTTCTTGGTGTTTCCAACAAAGAACTGAACAAAATACAAAAACAAAGCAACAAAAGCACAGATTTATTGACGCAAAAGTACACTCCACAGACTGGGAGTGGGCTGAGCACGCGGCTCAAGAGCACCAGCGGCAAAATCTTCTAGGGTTTAAGTACCCTCCAGAGGTTTCCACTGGTTACTTGGTTACATCCTGTGTAAATGAAGAAATGGTCCACAACCACTTTGATTGGTTGCAGGAGGGGACCAATTAGAGGAACTTTTTATTTTTTATCTGCTACACTGTACAAGGGGAGTAGCCTGTGATCCTTTCATTACTTGAGTGTGGACAGGTGAGGTTTTCTTTTTGATTCAGTTCTAGAAAGTCAGCGTGAATCAGCCTTAGGTTCCCTCCCTGCAGACCCTATTCTCCTGCATCCATGTGGGCGTGAGAACGAATCTGAGTTTGGCCAGAACGTCTTTAACAGGAAAGGCCTTGCCCTTGTTTCAGGCCAGCCAGTGTGCTTCAGGGCCGGCATCTCTCCTGGCTTCCTGGGCAAGGGAAGAGCAATCAGCCAGGACCTCTGTGCTATGGTTCCCAAATGTGGATGTGGAAGTGCTATTTTCTCTGTTTGGGACCTTTATCTTTGAAATTTCCAGTCCTTTTTTTTAGTTTTAGTGTTGAAGTCAAGTTTTTTCTTTTTAAGCTTGTGTAAACCAAGAATAAAACTCTAAGCTCTCCCCACCTCCATTGAATGAATCCCTCCCCTTGGCCAAGGGGGATTCCAAAACACTCCTGAAACACTTGTTCTAACCATCATGGGCAGCAGGAGTCAGACATACCTCATTTTACCATCCTCCCTTTGGAGTTTATGGACCAGCATTAACAAGACAGCCGGGGTCTCAAGACTGACAAAACTGACTCTGTGGTCATGAGGCAGGAGAGTACAGACTGAAGGCAGGGAACGTAAGGTCAATTCATGCTGAATCAAGGAAAAACACCAAGGTCTGTGGGGAAGCAGGGAATCTGAGGCCAATTGTGTTGAATCCAAGCTGAATCAAAAGGAAAACATGTGGGTCTGGAGGCAGGGGCCCTAAAGCCAATTCATGCCAACTTTCTGAAGCTAAACCAAAAGGAAAAATCCAGCTCCCCATGCCTAAGTAGCAAAAGGTCAAAGGTTGCTCTTTCTACAACCCTTCCCCTTCCACCATGGCTCAGACAAAACAGGGGAGTGGCTTGGAGTGATCGCGGGCCAAGCGGGGACCATCCCTTCATCTGCATAGGATGCCAATCACCTCAGTCTTTACTAAGCCACAGACCAAATCCTTCATCTGTATAAGGGGTAACTGATAGGAACCTTGAAAGAGTACTTAAAACCCAGAAAACTTTGTAATTGGGCTGTTGAGCTGCTAGGGCCCACTCCCAGCCTGTGAAGTGCTTACTCTCTTTTATAAGTCCCTGATTTCGCTGCTTCATTCCTGTTTCATTCCTTTGTTATTTTGTGAGTTTCGTCCAATTTTTTGTTCAAAACACCAAGAGCCTGGACAACTTATACTCAAGGCCCTCCTTCCAGTAATAGCAATAGAACACTGCATTCCAACTTGACTCTGGTATAGCATTAATGGCAGTGGCTGCTCTAGGTGGCCTGCTGCTGACATCATGCCAGCTGCAGAAGGGAGGCATGGCTGGAGCTGCATGTTCCATGAAGCCCTTCCAAGTTGGGATGGGAGCGCCCCAGGTGCTGCTACAGCTGCCCAAACCATGGGGTTGCAGACCTGGGCTTCCCGCTCCACTGAGCAGGCAGGAGCTCTGCCGCCAGAGCAGGGCTACAGCCGCCCAACTTGTGGCTGCAGATCTGAGCCTCCCTGTGTTCTTAGGAGGCTGGCAACAAGCAGGATTCCTGCCCTCCTGGGTTCAGCTGTAGCCACCCAAACCATGGCTGCAGACTCAGGCATCCCTGAACTCTTGGAGGCCTGGAAGGCCCCCCTGCCCTTGCAGGCTCAGAAGTGCTTGTTCCCACTGCCTGGCTTCTCCATGCTGTCAGTGCCCATTCTGATCTTGGAGGAAAGTTGGGGCCAAGCCCAGGTGTCATGAATGGCAGCAGGAGGTAGACAGATTCCTTTGTGGAAGGGGACAGGTCCCTGGTGGGGACCCACCTTCAGGCCAGGGAGGGCCTGAAGCCAAGCTGCCAGTCCCACGGACCGGATTGGGAACTTGTGGTGCTTTTTCCAGGTCCACCCATGGACCAATTGGCATACACTTTCTCCCCTCTGAGGCCCATAGAAGCAACAGGATCAGCCAGAGCTAAGCAGATGACAGGATGACCAGCTGCAGAGAGGAGCCACCCTCTCCAGGTCCTCCTAGCTGCTGACAGCTGCAGAGTCAATGGGGTGACCTGCCTGCAGAGAGGAGCCAGCCTCTCTGCTGAGAGCTGAACACTCAATAGGACCATCCTCCTCCAAAGAGGAGCCACCCACTGTGGGCCTCCTCTGAGCTGTTCTAACACTCAGCAAAGCTCCTCTGCATCTTGCTCACCCTCCACTTGTCTGCATACCTCAGTCTTCCTGGATACAGGACAAGAACTCAGACAAAGGCACCACTGGCCACAGAGGTTTCTGGCCGGTAAAACAACACCCCAAAAATCCCATAACACGTCATGTGACAGTAGGCCCTGAAGGAAATCAAAGTATTTTACCACAAAATATATTTTGTTGGAATATTTTGAAATGGGCCTGCAAAGTTTTCTCTTATGCAGGGAAATCTGCATTCTGTAGAGAATCTTCTCCTCTTACTAGGTCTTTTCTGGAGAGTCTGACACCTTTTAAGTTCAGACAAGAGATGTCTCCCATCTATTCTCTCTGAAGCTTGCTACCTAGAGGCTTCATCACGTGACAAGAACCTTGGCTTAAGCTCCACTTACTCTTTCAACCAATTCCCAATCAGGAAATTTTTGAAGCCATCTATGACCTGTGAGTACTCCCTATCCCCACTCCCACCCTTGCCTTTGAGATGCCCACTCTTCTGGGGCTCAACTAATGTATACCTTACATGTATCAATTTGTGTCTTTGCCTGTATCTTTTGTCTCCCTAAACTGTATAAAACCAAGCTGTAACCCAACCACCTTGGGCACATGTTCTTAGGACCTCCTGAGGCTGTGTCACAGGCCATGACTGTTGACCTTGGAAAAAGAAACCTAAGGTGATGGAGACTTGTGTCAAATACTTTTTGATTTATAGCCTATTACCCTCTGACAGCAAGATGTGGCTGCTCCTGAGAGCTTATCTTTTCCACTGTGTCATCCTTCCCACCTTCCCCTCCTGTAGGGGGCAGCAGGCATGGGCTTGGGAGCAGGTGACTTAGCTCAGCTACAACCTAGGCTACTGACCTTTTGGGTAAGTTCGTTAACTTTTTTTTTTCCAACAGGGAATCTCGTTCTGTTGCCCAGGCAGGAGTGCAGTGGCATGATCTCAGTTCACTGCAACATCCCTCTCCCGCATTCAAGTGATTTTTGTACCTCAGCCTCCCAAGTAGTTGGGATTACAGGCATGTGCTACCACACCAGTTAATTTTTGTAGTTTTAGTAGAAACGAGGTTTCACCATGTTGACCAGTCTCAAACTCCTGACCTCAAGTGATCAACCCACTTTGGCCTCCCAATGTGCTGGGATTACAGATGTGAGCCACCATGCCCAGCCTAAATCCATTAACTTCTGTTTGGATGCCCTGCCTAGTTCAGGCTACCATGGGCAAACAAGAGAGGTGCTCCAGAAATTATGAAGCACTGGGCAAAATGCAGGCGTGATCATTACCTCTGTAAGTGCACCCAGGTTCAGCTATGTGAGCCAAACACGAGAAGAGAGGGCTGGTGAGAGGAAAAGTGGGTTTAACTGGAGAGCCGGCAAATGGAGAAGATATTGAACTATGTTCTAAAGGAGCATCTTACATTTTATAATTTACCATAGGGGTTTTAAAGCGAAACTTGGCATGGGAGACATGGGAATGGTGCAGGGCACAAAGTCTGTGTCTTTGTCCCCATGGCTGTCTCTGGTAACTGCTGGTCTGGAGGTCTGATTGGTGTTATCTTGACTTTGGCCTGATGGTGATGAACTAATTGTTCATGACTTCCCCTAAGCAGGAGTATTCCACAGAGGCTCCATTCCTGGTTTGTTTCAAGAGCAGCCTCTGCGAATTCTTAAAGAAGAGCATAATTAGATAAACATGCATTGCCGGAGAGGCGTGTCTAGAGAGGAAAGGAATGAAGGTGTGAGAGTGGAAAGATAAAAGAAAAATAAAGTGGATGATTTTTAAAACTGAGTTCTTAGCAGCCAAACAAGCACTGGCCTCGAGATAAACAACATTAAAACCACTTACACTCCATTAATGTCGACTCACTGACCCCCAGCCCCATTCTACCAGCCACAGCGACAGCTTTAATTAGACAAGAGATTGATTTCAGTAACTTTCCTGGATAAAAAGACCACCAACCCGTGCACTAGTTCTGGCCAGTCTGCAAAAATCACATACTTGCATGCCTTGGTGTCCTGAAAAAACCTTTTGACATGTAGGGTCTAACTGTAACACCTTTAAATGGTCTCCACCCCAAACTGAACATGGGTCATATGTCACATGCATATTTGTTCAATACACATGTTGGAACCACCTTCATGAATATTCATAGCTTCTCATATAACCTGTTAAGTATGTATGATTAGTCAACCTCTCATCAGATCCCCACAGGAGCTCTGGGTACAATAGACACTGGGAAATGCGCACTATAATTTTGGCTGACCAGCCTGGGCAACAAAGTGAGAGCCCATCTCTACAAAAAATTTTAAAAATCAGCCCTTGCATAGTTGCACATACTTGTACTCCTAGCTACACAGAGGCTGGGGCAGGAGGATCA